CAACCCCAGTCTCTCCCCCCACCAGCGAGCTAGTCTCTTGAGACCCCGGCCTAGCATTGATACTTTGGATACCCTGCTTCTGCTCTTCCCGGTCCCTCTTTTACAGACGCTCTCGTCCGTGATCACGGGCGGGTATCACACAGTTCCCATTTCAGTTCCAGTTCGCAACTCTCCAGTCTGTCTTCCCCCGTCGATGATCATCATCCACCAACACTTGCTACTCCTACTACCCTCGCTCGTCGATATCTGCCTTCGCACGCTTGCAGTCTAATCACCGTCAACAGCCCCGGCTTCACTACTTGCCCCGGCAGGGAAACGAATGAAACCCGAGTCTTAGCCGCTCTAATCTGTGTACTACGCTTAACAATACATCCTTTCGTCAATCATCACCGCTCGAGGCACGGACCACCATTCCCCCAGAAGAGAGAGAGGTCATTCATTATCTCACCTTAGCGAGCGGGCGGCCCGTACGGAATCCCGGTCGCTCACACACAAGTCACTCACTCAGTCACTCTCACACCCGCGCGGCATCCCAGTCGCAGACAAGCAGACAGACAGAACAGCCCCGCGTCGGCTTCGGACGGACTATCCTCAACAACCACCCCATCACATCCCATATCGCACAAGAACTGCATCTCCCACCTCGTTGCGAGATTGCCAGCCCGCGACGGGTGTGCCAGAGTCATACGAGACATTCTACTTTTATTTCTTTTTTCAGTCCTATCTGCCTCTTTGTGTGTCGTCCTGTACCAGTTATATCGTCTTTCGGCCTGCAGAAGTATTCTCCCGACATACTGAGACCTGCCTGCCGCTCTGCGTGCGCTACTGCTGCTATCAATATCCGGACCATACATACGCCTGTTGACCAGTCCAGTCTGCGCCTACGAGCCATTGTCTATAACTTCTGTGGATCCCGACGATTTCATTCGTCCTCGTTCTGTTGTTCATCTACCTACTACCGTCATCGCATTACCTCACATCAACCACCCACCCACCATGGCCGGGCTATTCAAGAAAGTCTACGACTGGTTGCTCAGAACCTTCTGGTGAGTAGTGATGGGAGTTGCGCCCGTTTGCCCGTTTGCCGGTCTATCGCATCGATTGCTCACATGTCAGATACAACCAACAGGGCGACAGAGATGGATGTGACCATGATCGGCTTGCAGAACGCAGGAAAGACGTCACTGCTGAGGGTTATTTCGGTGAGTCGCCAACGTCAATGCCAGCCATCCACCTCTTCATCCATCACTGAAGCTTTTTGCTGACCATTTCCAGGGCGGAGAATTCACTCTTGAGTAAGCCAACTCTTTCTTGTCCCATCCCGTCCCACCAAACCTGTCTTGACCTCCCTCGATACCCTCCCTTCCTTATCCCCCACGACTAACCCCACGCCACTTCCACAGCTCCATCCCAACAGTAGGCTTCAACCTCAAGCGCGTCCAGCGCGGCCACGTCACCCTCAAATGCTGGGATCTCGGCGGCCAGCCGCGGTTTCGACAAATGTGGGAGCGCTACTGCCGAGGCGTCAACGCGATCGTCTTTATCGTCGACATCGCCGACCCTCGTCTTCTCCCGGCAGCCAAGGACGAACTGCACTCCCTCATGCGAAACGAGACTCTCCAGGGGATTCCACTTTTGGTGCTAGGCAACAAATCCGATTTGCCCGAACGGTTGTCCGTCGATGAGCTGATTGATGCGATGGATCTCAAGAGCATTGCCGGAAGAGAGGTCAGCTGTTATGGGATTTCCGCGAAAGAAGAGATGAATCTCGATGCGGTTTTGCAGTGGTTGATGAGGTTTGCTGGGAAATGAGGGGTTCGCGTCGGTTCCGTTGCGTTCGTTCGGTTGAGTTGTTGAGGCATTTGGTTTTTGGTCTTGGTGTGGTATACCCCGCGTTTTGTTCTTGTTTCCTTCCGGACTTGATGGTGTCCTGGTTCAACAGTCCAGCAGTGTCGGCCAGGTAATTTTTTTATTTTTTATTTTTTGCTTTTCTTCTTGTTCTTCTTTTCGCGGATCTCGGTTCGGCAACTCTTTTCCACGGCGACGGAAAACAAAAGAGGCTGTTCGGTTCAGTTTCGGTCGGCAACGACAGATCGTATCGTATCGGCTCGGATTTTCACTTCGATCGTTCGATGGCTTGCAGTACTGTTGCACGTTGATGGATGTCGGTTTGGAAGCGAAGTATTGAGGAAAAACAACTTAGAATGGAAATGGCACTCGCCAACTCAGATGACGGACGGAAACGGATGATTTGGGAAGGAGCAGGGGTGTTCCGAGTTTTGTTGTTGGTTCTTTGGCTTGAATAGTACAAGTATTTGCTGGGTTGTTTTGGATACCTGCTGGTAGTAGTAAACGAGGGGAATGGAAGAGATATCGACGACAATGATAGGAACGGAAGCTTTTGGTTAACCTTGTAACTTGTGGCCTTTCCACTTCACTCAACTTTCTCTTCTTGTAGTCAACTTGGAGCAGAGCAGAGCAGAGCAGAGAGAAAGGCAGCCGAAGGAAGGATATGTAGGAGAAGGATAGGATGGTAATACCACACGCATCATGACTTGACGAGACTCTGATACTTGAAAGACGGAGAGTGAACGTGAACATGGAAGTGACATGAGAAAGTTGGGAGAATACTCATCCATATGGGCCTAAGAGATCGACGACCGGTATCAACGAAGCTGTACAAATCCTCGGTGAAAGGCGACGGTAAAGCCCGGTGAAGAGAAAGGTGAGCCAAGTGTGGTATGTGTGTGTGAAAGAGGCCCAACAGGGCCAAGACCGCTTGGAGGTGATTCGGCTGGCACCCGGGTGGTCGACCGAACAAATCTCACACCAACAAAACACCAAAAAACTTTGGAAAAAGGAGAAAGAAGGGAAAGGAAGAGGAAGAGGAAACCATCCTTTCATATATATCCTGCTAACGAAACCCAGAAGAAATCCGCATGCTCCTTGCTCGTTCTTTGACCATTTTGGTACGGACGGGGGGATCTTGGGGACCCTGGCCGGACGCCCTGCCCCTCGAACTGACACGACTCCATCGTTTATTGACGTGGGACTGTTTGATTGGCTGGCTGCATTTTGCTGCGATTTGGAGGGGGGATGCCCGGCATGGGGGAGAAGACATCCCAGTCTCTCGCACACCAAGCACATCAGGCTTCTTTTTTTTTTTCCTCTCTTGCTCTTTTCGTCACTGTGATTTTCTTCCGTGTGAGAAGAGAACAGGAAATGGGTTGCCTTTTAGGAAGCAGTCGTGAAAAGCATTTTAAAAGATTCATATTTTCGCGTCGTGTAAGAGTACTGTACCAAGTAGCCGGGTTGAGGCCTGAGTGTGTACCTATATACTTGACTGTGAATGATTGAATGTTAGGGGTGAAACATCATTTGAATCATAACAGAACTCACGCTCTGGTTTCTTCTGTTTTTCACGTTTGAAGGAAAGTCATTTGAAATGGTGCGTGATGCGGTGCTCAGTATACATGGCGAATTGTGGGCGTTGGGAAGACATCAACACACCGAGCATCGTCCATTTGATCTTCAGACTGATGACTGATGGCTCGGCTTGGTATCCCAATTTGATCAGCTTTGGCAAGGCTACGGGATACGCAGTGGTCCGGAGGTCAAACGCGCGGTGATCGTAGGGCTGAAGCAAAGGGCAGCTGATCTCCATGGAGGAGGTGCGCCAGTGTCGAAATTCGAAAAGAACCATGGGGCCACAGGCCGCCTGCATAGGCTGTCATTATTGACTTCAGTGCCGCGTCCCCCAAGAGCGTCGTGGTGAACGCTGTGGAAGACCAAGAGCAATTCTACGACACTGACCATGGATGCTGACCAAGAGAAAGCGAGAAGGCAGTCCCAAGTCCTCCTAGGCTTTGATACACATTGATACCAGACTCAAATGGTCGCTCGTCGGCTTATCGTTAGCATCAGTGACATCATCAACGCGACTCACCGGCAGCACTCGCTCGCCTGCTGCCTCCAGTCACAATCGCATAACGGCACAAACACAGGCACCGCAGAGGAACGTGAAATGGCTTGATCCTTCTCCTTTTGTTTGGTGTGTTGGATGTTCGATCGCTCTTAATGCTACCCTTCGAGCTCTGTCTCTGTGATGTTGCTGAACCGGTCGTGATGTATCGTCGTATCGCGCAATGATTGATCAATGAACCAGAAATTCGGACCTGTTGTCTTGTAGTGTAATAGATGTGTGTGGTATCTCTTTCGCTTGTTTGGAAGGTCTGCAGGAAAAACAGAAGAAAGGACCCAGAGTCTTTTTTGCATTCCCTCTATCTCTGGCCGAGATGCGGCAGCAACACACACGGCCGCTGCGTCTTGTTGTTGATAATTTCCTCCCTCAGCAAACAAAAGCCAGCAAGCCATAATCGTGGTCGTCCGGAAGAAAAACTTGACTCGGGTTTTGTCTCTCTTGATCAATGCAATGCCGAAGAACGCCGTCCGCCGTGTCCACGCATCATGATGTCCGCCAACAAAAGCAGCCAGCGCACAACCACAACCATCCAAACACCACCATCCTCGTCTCCAAGTAGTCCTTTAACGGTAGGACTTCTGGAAGCGAGAGCGGGCACCCTTACCACCGAACTTCTTGGGCTCGCAACGACGGGGATCGGCGACGAGAAGAGTGCGGTCGAACTGGATGAGAGCGGTCTTCAAGGTGTTCTTGGAGTGCTCATCGACGTACTTGGCGTAGTAGGCAACCTGTAAATCCACCAAAAATGCCCTGGTTAGTTTCTCTCTCGTCTTCTTTTTGCTGCATGTTCGTGTGCAATCGCGTATTCATGGAATTCGGCAAAGTGTGCTTTTATCGGTCGGGGAAAAGGGGGATCGAAAATCGTTGGGGAATACTGACAATGGCCTTGGCAATCTGTAAAAACACAACTTGGTTAGCATGTCTGTTGCCTGTCGCGAATGTTCTCCGAGGAGTCGCAGATTTCCAAAAACTTACAGCCTGACGGACGGCATAGACCTGGGAGACGTGACCACCACCGGAGACCTTGAGGCGGATGTCGACCTCGGCGAACTTGTCGACACCGAGGAGAAGGATGGGCTCGTAGAGCTTGGCCCGGAGGATCTCGGGGGCGTAGAGCTTAAGGGGAACACCGTTGACCTTGATGAGGCCCTTGCCCTGCACACAGCGGGCGACCGCTACATTTGTCGCAAGACGGCACCGGTCAGCAATTGTCGCTCTCTGAAATGGCCAGAAATTCCAAAAAGCAATATTTCGACATACCCGTGGCGTTCTTCTTCTTGCCGAAAACCTGGACCGCTTGCGTAGCCATTTTGTCTGGATGGGCAAGATCACGACGATGCGTACGTTCGGGACTTGTTAATTTTCAGAGTCGTTCCTCAAAATTTGTGTGGGAGGGGAAAACGGAATGGGGCTAAAGTCTGTCACGTGCTGACTAAGCCAGCTGGTGGCCTTTGGGCGAGGGCGCTGGGCTGCTGGTGAGCGAGTGGTCACTGCGGTCGGTGCGCGCCCAGAGACGTGGTCGAGCCGGCAAGTTTTGGACTAGCGGACCGCCAGCAGCTGGCAATCTCAAAGCGTGGAGTTTGTGCAGTAAATATCTTGGCATTCTTGGCAAGGTTGTGCCTCGCGGCGAACCATGTTGTGCAGGATCCAGAACGAATTGAATTTCATTTTGGACTTAAGAGTGCAATTCCTCCCTTTAGCATCATCGCAATGAAACATCACCATAACACAAAGCCGCCATCTGTCATGCCACTCATTGTCTTCGTTATCTGCGCAACTGCAAGGGACTTGGCGTACGGGCGGCCTCTCGCGAGATTGATGGACGATCGGTTTATGCGCAATTCGATCTGTCGCACCGAAGCACCGTGGACAGGAACAACATTGAGAGTTTGATATTCAAGGTTGATACGTCCATGTCGCGTTGCACCTCCACTCAACCGTCCGTTGCAATCTTATAAGTTCCCGTTTGGGTATCTTGTTCACTTCCATCGACAATGCCAACGAAGGACGTTCACTGTATCATGCCGACGGACATTGCCACAGGCAGACAGACAGCCACAGTCAGTTGCCGTCGTCATCATTCCAACACTCCCGTCTCTCTCCCGAAAAAGGATTTGGGTTACAGTACCTTGATTGGGTAACACTCCCCGACATCAGCGATATGTAATGGATAGGCGCAGCAAAGCAATGAGCAGGTATGTAATACGCCAGACGGCAATGGTACGGCTAATATCGCAACCATATGGCAACCACAACAACCACATGCTACCTATGCCATGCCATCCATACCACTAAGACCATACGAGCTCGCCGTCGTTGCAGTGGACGGTTGGTTTCTCTTTATACACAGCGCCGCCTCGTATATAAGCAATATTGGGACTACAACGGGCATGCTTCAATGCAACCGAGGAAAGGGTGTGTGTGTGGTGGGCCGTTGGTTACCTTGGCCGCTGAGTCTTGTCCGAGATCACGACGTGGGATCGGCCGAGTTTTATCGTCCAAGTCTCGGTTGGGTGGCTTGGCAGGTGAAAGTTCTCACTAAAAGGAAGTGAACCATTGGGCAGCCCAGACCAATGGTGACCATGGTGACCCCTATTTTAACCACCATGGGCTTCGCTTGACAGGTGAAATTCGATGCATAGAAGTATGAGTTGGTGACCGAGGTGTTTGTTTGACAGTGTGTCGAACATTCAATCCGATTCTTCCATACTCACAAGTCATGCCAGGGCCCAGGCAGCTCAGCCACTGCTGGTCTTTTCGGATTCCAACGTGCACAAACAAAGGAAGTGACCAGAAACAAAAAGGCAAGAACCACAGTGTCCGTCTTCAATTCCCCCCAAGAAAATCGGACCCATCTCTCCGGCCTTTTCACGAGCTGCTAGAGGTGCCTAGAACGTTGGAGTGGCCCTGCCTCGCCTACGGGTACAAGCGTCAAATCCCTCCTTAGACTTCCCCAGCTTCCCCATCACTTGCCCTTGATGGAACCTGTGACTGTCTGAGCCCCTCCCGCCACGGCGCCCTGACGACGCCCTGAACATCCAACTTTTAATCCAACGTCACCCCCCAGGAAAGGAACGTCCCGTCGAACCACTTCCTCTCTTCTTTCATTTTCGCAATTTCCTCATTTCAACTTCGACTGTCAACTTTTCCTGACACAATCGAGTCCTTCGACATCAACCTTGTTGTCGCAGCAAAGACTCGACGACTGCTTCACATCGACAAAGATATCGAGATAGCGCAATTTGACATCAGAATCGAAGGAATCCACTCTCGCCAACAATCCGCAATGGCTCCTCTAGCAGAAACGGCCAACCAGGTCCACGAGATCGCCAAGCGAGAGTAAGCCATTCAATTTCGCATCACCAACACCATATGTTCAGCATCACTAACCTATGTTTCTCTAGTTGTTATGATGCATACAACAATTACTACTGCTATTCCGCCTGGTACTACTACGGCCGCTGGATCCTACTAGGCGTGTGCATCCTCTGCATTTTCCTCTCGGTCTTCCTCATGGCGTACGTCTTCCCTGCCCTCCGAGCATCACCTAACTTGGTATCACCACTAACATGAACATGTTGTAGACGGAAAAACTCCCGTCGTCGTCGCATGCAAGGAGCGGCACCCGTGTACGGAACTGGCTGGATGGCTCCCGCTCCTCCTCCCTACGCGCCTCCTCAGTACTCCGCCCAGCCGCCGCCCGGTAGTCAAGGAGGGTACTACGCACCAAATGGCCATGGCCCGAAGCCGGAGCAGAACGGTCCTGGCGCGTATTATCCCAACCAGCAGGAAGGTGTCCAGCTCCAGCAGCCGCAGAGCGCATACCACAGAGGTCCCGATGAGCAGTACACCCCGCCTGAGGGCCCACCGCCTAACCAGACCCCTCGGTACTAGTAAGCTTGGGTTCTGATGCAGGAGGGAACGGAATATGAGACGATGCGATGCGGGGATGGAGATAGATGATGACAAGCGACAATCAACAAATCAACCAAGCCATTGATCGATGAATAAACAACGGCGTATGTGATACCTATCCAACAATGGGGAACGAAGGAAGACAATGGAGGAGACTGGCGTTGGGGAATGGATGGCAAGGGTTTGCGGATGGCGTTCAGGGTCTTTCAACGTGTGTGCGGGGGGAAACAATGCAAGTTGCGGTCTTCGTATCTGCACGACAGATGATGGAGAAGACGGGATGATTGCGATGGGATCTTGTCTGTGGTTGATGGACAAGCAACAAGCGGCAAGGCAAGTCGAAAAGTATACAGCACAGACAATCGGAGACGTGCAGACTTACTGTCTGCAGATGCAAACAACAATCAAATCAAGATCGCAGGACGAGCCACATAATGGTGCTAACCTAGATATTTCCCTACTATTCTTGTCCAGTTTTACAATAATATTATTTCATGTTTTAATCGTATGTTCCAAGGTTATCATGGAAATAACTAGATGATAATTTAAGTTAAAGTATCACCAATTCCTCAACATGCTCCCCTTGTCGACTTGACGTTGTAAAAGATAAGGGTCTCTCTCGTCCCCTTGCATCTACAGGATCTCCACTTGCTGAAAGTTCCACTACTGCACTGCTGCACTGCTGCAAACGTCACAGTTCCAGATGCAGATGCAGTGTTCTCTGCCTCTGCTCACAGCCATCCAAACAGAACGTCGAACTTTCTATCGCTATCTCAAGTCTTGCCGGGCCTTCGGCCAATTATTTGTGGCAGTGATGGTGGTTGGTTGAACGAACAGAGACGGGTTCGAGGGGCGATGAATGGTGGAAGAAGAGGCGCAGCTGACCCTCACGTGCTTGGGTGGCAGAGTTAATCACGAAAATGACTTGCTTGAGGAAATGCTCACTTGATCCTCGATCCTAATTCCGCGTATCGGAGCATTCGGAGGGAAAGGTGAACAAGATACATGTCGATAAATCAGCCAACCGAATCACTGCGTGACGGCGTGATGGCAACGGCGGGGGAGATCATTGGATAATTGGATAACGACATCGTTAATATCGATGTGGCACATCATCATAAGAAAACTTATGAATTGGAAGATGCAAAAGAATCATGCAGATAAAAGCGCTGAGAACAAAGATAAAAAGAAACAACGTAGAGTTAGGGAAAGCTTCTGGAATCGCCTGATAGGGAATACGGACACTCCAATGCAACATGTAACACAAGGGTTTGCAAAACCATAACCTCGAAGCATCATCACCACCATCTTCGCCCTGGTTGATATGCTTGTGGTAATTGTTCTGGTTGATACAATATTTAATCCATTTTATGGTAGGTCCTGAATGTCTGGAGCATGGAGATCAACTGATAGATGCTTTTACTGTCATTCAATCGACAAGCTGACCATACCCTTAATATTTCTAACGAAACGTTCTTACAACGCTCAACACCTCAGGATGCTAGGCATCGCTAACGATCCTTTCCCTCATCAAAGATGACTGCGCAGCTTCCAGCACACCTAGAGGTACATTACATTACACTGACCTTCACCTGAAAGCTCGGCGAAAGTCGACGCGCGCGGGTACATTTATAGGAACGATAACTATTCCCACGTCATGGGGCGGCATCAATGGAAAAGAAGCTTCCCTCTAGGGAAGGAGGGAGGATCTTCTTCACTGGATGGTAACAGGGCTTATAATCCCTAGGTGGTTTCAAACGTACTACTACACTCTGAGTAGCTAACGTGGTAGGTGAGCTGGTATGTAGGTAGCCAGAAAACACGTATGTATGTGGTGTATTTCGTAGGACTGCAGCTGGCCTTGAGTGCAACTCAGGGTTTGGGGCCGTCGAGGTTTTTTTTTTTTTTTTTGCTTTTTCTCAATCATTATGGATTATACGTCGCCTTGCAATTTTTTCTTCTTTTTCCCATGAGCTGCTCCGGACAGCTTTGCCAGAACGAAAGTGATGCGTCATGAGCTCGTACAGTAAATGTCTCCGGGGGTTCTTCGAGCAGCGGTGTCGTTGGCATCGATGTAGACAAGTCCTTGATTTGGTTGCTTCGGCCACCCATCATCCTATCCAACGTCCCCTTCAGTCCTTTCCCCTGCAAACCTCCCCCCTCTTTCCCCCCCTTAACATCAAGTATTTCAGGAGCCCCCATATTCTTCTCCCCACCCAGCACATGCGCAGGCCGCAAAGCTTCGTCAACGGGGTGCTTAGGCTTATTAGCCTCGTGCTCGGCGCGCGTCTCGCCGCCTGAAGGCTCAGATTCTGCACCGCCCGGCTGTGAGGAAGTAGGGCCGCCGTCGGTGCCGCGCAAGTCGTGGTGGTGGCGGGCTTGGTGGGAGGCTAGGGGGTTGTTGTAGGTGCGGGAGATTTCGGGCATTTTTCTGTTGATTGTTTGATCGGGGCTGTGTGTCTGGTTGTGTCGTGGGGATGAAGATGGGTAGTTGTGGATCTTGGAGAACTTCCGTTCGAAAATGCGGTTTGTGCTTCTCGAGGTTGGGTTTTTGCTGTTGCAAGCTGGAGTTGTCCTGGATGAATAGATGGGTTGGTATGACTTGAGAAGGCGTTTCCAGTTCGACTGGCTGGGTGTGAACGGGCTAATGGATGTCTGGTGTGGAAGAGAAGTGTGTTGTTAGTTGTTGTCGGAAGGAGATGTCTAGACGTGCTGCTGTGCGTCTGATGCAGTGGTGCTGCGAGAAGAAGTTGGTGATGTCATGGAGCGAGGTGGTCGGCGGAGAACTCATGACATGACTGTTATTAGCTATTGGCTTATCATGCTATGGCATTGTTAAAGACCGAATCTGTTAAGGGCTGATCACTTACTCCACCAGACGCCTTTTGCTGACGTAACCTCTCCGTTGGACCCTGAGGATCAGGTCGCTTCTTCTTCCGCTCCCTTCAACATCACTCGACACTTGCCGACCACAACTTCGGAATTCGAACCGAAGTCAAATAGCCCAATTCAGATAATTGTTTATCGGGTTGAGAAAAGGTTATTGCCGTCTTATGCAGCGGAGACATCCCGATAGGGCCAGTGGCTTCGAGTGCCCTCGTGGGTTTGGTGACTGAACATTCTTTGTTCTCGGCTCTCTGGGGAACGTTCCGCTCCTTACAGTCCTTAGTAGCGTGAACTCCACCTACCTTTACCATGAGCCAGAGACAATGGATCGAGCGAACAATGGTTTTATCAGATTCAATGGCCAGTTATTCCGTCTCTTATAAGCAGCTCAGCTCAACTGCTTTATGCTGTGCTGAGAGAAGACTGAACCGCGGGAGATATATATACTTAGTTACGATACCCTACCTAAAGAACGTGGGGCAAATACTGAAGTCTGAGAATACCACTCCACCTAAGGAGCTTAACCTTGCAACTCGGACGAAAATCATCAAGATGTCTTGCTTCGACTACAACTCCTCTTCCGCTTCCGAATCGGATACCTCTTCAACCGGGCTCTCAAACGAAGATTTCCGCTACCCGCACATCGGCACCGGTACGGCACAAACTCACAGCAAGACACGTGCAAGCAAGAAGAGAACCTGGTCCGAAACAGAAACAGACGACGAAAGCGACCTCCCCGGCGTCCCGGACTACCGGGTGAGCAACTCCTACAGTCGCTTCTCTTACGATTCGGATGCGGATTCTTTGAATTCGGACGAGTCCGAGGGCAACCGGGAAACCAAACGAAGAAGGGCCAGCGACGGTCAATTAGTAGGCCCACTTGCTGGAAGCGTCAGAGACATGGACTTCGTGAAGCGTCCTACGTCAGCATCAGCGCCGAAGCCAACCACCGCAATAAGAAACATACTTGTTGGAAACCCTACAAGCGTACGTTATCCACGGGCATATCGGTTTATTAACAGGCTGGATAAAGGTCTTTTCCAGTACTTCACACTTCACAAACCGTCATCTCTCAAGAGCAGCGAGCTCGAGCCTCTACCAGTAACGGCTCGTCCAGCTCGAGTCCAACATAAACCATTCGTCCATACCCATCCGGCGCCGAAGCCCACGACGCCGATAAAATATCAAACGAGAAGGACAGCTTTACTTGCTGCTACAAGGCCAACACCCGCGCTTCCCAGAACCACTTGGCTTGGGGTTACGAATACCTGGGCTTTTCCCAGCTCGTAGGACGATAAGGGCCAAGCCTGGCGTGTCGTAGCTACCTCTAGACATGGGGTCGATCTGGGTCTCTGAAGTATCTAGTTTTGCTATTAGACGTAGTCAAGTCATAGAGAGCATCATACAATCAAGCATTCAATTTCTTTGAGGCTTTTTCGTTGCACTCAACGTGGACGTTCTAAGCCAATCGTGCAATGTGATCATGCTTAATCGTACCGTAGCAGTAAAACTGTTTTGGTATCATCGCTCATAAACAAAGTACACCGCCCACCCATAGTCCATAACCCGTACGTAACCTGGTATCATCCATCCCATCCCATCCCATCCCATCCCATCCCGATATCCCAAAATCACAACGCAGTTCCCTTCTCATACTCGCTCTCCCTCTTGTTACTCCTTCCATTCCCATTCCCGTGCTCCTCAATCGACTCCTCAACCTGCACCGTAACATCCACCGATTTCCTCACCTGAATACCCTCCAGGTCTCCTCCAGTACTCTTCGTCCCCTTGTTATGGTGGTGATGATCCCTCAAACTATTCCACTTCCTGATCCCCGAATGCTCTTTTTCCTTATGCTCTTTATGCTCCTTCTCCACCACATCCTTCTTACCCCCACCAGTGACCCCCTCCTTCATCTCCGCATCATTCACCGTGGTCCCCTCTGGCCCCTCCCACGTATCATCCAATTCCACATACCCTCCATCCATCCAAGCATTCGTCCTTCCCTGTCGCATGTACTCTGCCTCTGCAGCTGATACCGGAGGCTTGAACGGCTTTGAGCCGATGGTAGGCGGGGTGATACTATCGCTTAGTCTTCCGCCTTGTCCGTTGCTTCCGTTGCGGGAACGGGAACGCGAGGCGAGGAGGTTAGGGAAGTATTTGACGATGAAAGGCTTTAAAGTCATGACGCAGGCGCAGATAATGGCGCCGTTGCATTCGACGGCTGTGAGGTAGGTGAGTTCGGCGGCGGCGTAGGTCCAGTCGACTGGAGGGGTTTCGGTGTTTTCGACTTCGAGGAGCTTGAGGAGGCGGAGGATGGAGATGAAGCAGATTCTGTGTGGCAAGGGGATGTTAGTGACTAGGGAAGCGTAAACATAAAGGATGAAAGCTTACAAAAAACCCAGACCAAAGACTGCGGAAAGCGCAATCTTCTGCCTCTTGGGCAACATGATTGTCCACACCACAGGCAACGGCAGCAAGAAAATCAGGAAATCCGTGGCCATATGTAGACCCGTGCTGGACCACCACATTGACTGGGGGGCCGTCCAGACTCTCTGGATGGAGAAGTCCCAGTAGGAATTCAAGGGGATGGCGGCCACGAAACACACGGCAAGCATGTAGATGTGGCTGACGGTGACAATGGCAAGGAGGATTTGGCCACCGAGTCGGGCCCAGCGGAAGGTGAAGAGATGGATGTAGAGGAGCAAGATGGAAGCCTTGGAGAAGAAGAGGCAGAGGGTGTAGAAGACTAGGGAGTACCAGGAGGCCTGGGTGTTGTGAGAGATGTCAGTAAGTTCGTCCAAGCCTCTCTTCGTTTTGCTCAAGAATGAGATCGTACCCTAAACCAACTAGTTCCTGCTGCTATATCCAAACAGTTAATGTCCCAGATGTGAAGGCCGGAACCGTGCATGGCCTCTGCTCAGCGTCAGTATTCCATCCGATGAATCTGAATGACGCTGGACACATGTACTCACGCTCTATACCCCCAATACTCGTGGCCAATGAAAACACCAAAGCAGCCAAGAGACTCCAATCTGTGGGGCCCAACACTCGAATGATGACTCCTCTTGTGTATAGCCGCAGCCCGACAAGAAAAGCGGCTATGAGCCAGCAAACGACGCTCGAAGCGTAGATGTTTGGCCTCAGGGAATCATGTTGTCGTTCACTTGCTGGCGGCCAGGTACCATATGGGTCGCAGATCTCTGCTGGTGGCAGGGCCGTAGTAGTACCATTCGTCGTACTGTTCATCGTATGTGGGTGTAATCTGTATATCGTCTCCCCCCTGTTGCTGTATGTTGATCAAGGCCCAAGTCTGATAACTCAACCTCGACACACTGTCTCTCTGAGTGTTATATTGTGAAGATCGATAACAGTTTGAAGACTAGCTTCATGGACAGTGGAAGTGATTCATGGGAAAAGGACGGGAGTCCGGGGGGGAAGAGCGGATACAAGTATGTTCCCGAAGCCACCAAGACGGGGAGAGTAGCAACGGAGGTCGAAGCCATTTCTGGGGAAGCATGGTAACCCCCAAGGCGGGTGGGCGGGTGCCAATGCAACGGTTGCTGTCTATGCAGCTTGGTTCGAACCTGGTACTGGACAGTTACGAAGCGCCGGCAGTCCAGACTAGCCTTGACCGGTGAGGGTCTTTCTGCCAATGTAATGGTTTTGGGTTCCAGGCAATGGGGATTTGATACTTTGTTGGTGATGCCGCATTGACATTGATGGGCATGCAGATTGAGAGGCCATGCGGACATGGGCTTTGACATTGACACTTGACGATTCGTCTGGGGGAGTTGAAGTGGGACTCGGACTCGCTTGATCATCAAGAATCCCATGCTGGAGTTTACTCACTTGAGTACTTCATATGGGCAGCTTGAATTCCGACTTTGTGAAATCTGTTGAATCTCCTCAAGATCTCTTGGATGAGGTGTTCTTTAGCTTGTCAGATGCTGGCCCAGGCTTGGAGCTGACACTGGCTACCCCATGCCCGAGACGATCACAAGGAAAAAGAAAAGAGATGACAAGTCCCGACCGAGTCTGTCTGGGCGGCCGCGGGGATGTTTTCAAGAAGTTGGTTGTGGCTCAATATTTCTCAGAGAAGAATGGCAATTTCACGCGACACACTCTCCTCATTCTCTCTTTCCTGTCAGGAAAAAAGCCCAATTTGTGGCAGATGAGCCAGAGATGAATCCGAGACGGAAGTGGGAAGGAGCAAAACGCTGGTTGAGTGAGATCCTGCCGTGGTTGTGTGGTTGTATTTTGCAAAGCGCACAGACGAGAGCGGCTCGATGCGAAAGCGAATGGATTCCAATTGGCCAGACTTACGATCGAGGTGGGGAGTCGGGGAAAGTGGAGAAGTACGGAGGAGTCCACCATTGCTGTCGGTGGTGCCTGGATCGCCGCCATGGTTTGGGCAAGTTCAGGAGGACACACATCCCGGACAACTGAAGCCCTACGAGGAAAGAGCACAAGTGGAGTTGTCAAATCTCCTTCTTCAACTGAACTGAACCCCGCCATTGTTTTCTGTTTCAAGAGTCTGGAAAGAAAGAGAATGAATGGGTTGGGGACGACGGGCAGGAAAAAGAAAGGACACGATAGGTTCCAGCTGAACATCAAAAATCCTGCTGACCTGGACCATGAATGGCCCGCCCGGAAGCAAGCGACTTCTCCTCCGTCCCAAATTCCCAGACCTCCAGCTCCCCAACCGGGCTCTAACTTCGCTTGACTTCAGCCGGCAGCACGTTGCATGCCTCTTTTTGATAAAATCGGAATCCGGCAGAGACTCCCATTCCCATGAACACCAAAAGCACTACAACGACGGCACAGAAAATTTGGCATGGACGGCTATGCTTTCTCCTTTTTTTATTCATTTATTTTTACTCTACCATCCGCCGGTTCCCTTCTGTTATGTTCGGTCGGGTCGGAAACTTTTGAGCCCCGCTTGGTTGTTTCTCCCGCTTTTGATGTTTAATTTCCCCCACTATCAATGCTCAATGCACCCTCCTGTTCTTCCAGAAGCTCTCATATGTGAAACCGCTATTGCCTCAGCTGTGTTGCCAAGGTGGCCATCCTGGAAGAGGCCAAGTGGTTGGGGGGTCAGGTTCACCTCGGTGTGTTGACCGTATCCAGGTAACGGTCTTCATTCACCTTTCACAACCCTTACTCACTTTAAAGGACAGATTTGTCGAGATATCCAAGCACCTTATCTCAACAGGCAACAGCTTGAGATCACAAGAAAGCTTACTGTCTGGTTCAAACATTGAGTTGGCGATAACGTCGGTGATGGACAGTCGTGCTGACAGCGGACCGAGTGGTTCCGGGGTTATGCCACTACATCATTGAGACAAGAACAGATGTTCGGCACCAATCCCAACCTGAGCTCAATGGAAGACTGCAAACAGATATTTAGACCAAAAATAGCATTGGATAATGCTACGGCTATTTGGATGTTCGAATGGACAAGATCACTCAAACAGGGCCAAGTGACCGACATCCTACAGGTACTTCGTTAACAGATCTTCTGTCATCCTCGCCCGGCTCTAGGTGTCGCTTTCGTCGGATTCATTGACCGCTGACGATACTTGAGACTGACGGTGAGTAAGCACCCAGGTGAGATGCATACGATGAAACTTCTTTGCTCCGACTTGCGGCAGTCATGCAATATGGCTATAAAACCCAACACAATGTCTTCTTCTCGGGCATGTTGAGGCATCAGGATAGCATTCACACCAGCACCACCGCCGAGTCTTCACAATGGGCTCCCACCAAGTCAGCGGTGACAAACCCATCCTCCTCTTCACCAGCCTCCCAGCAACCGGCCACATAACTCCCACCCTCCGCATAGCTTCTTCCCTCCACGCTCGCGGCTGGCCCGTCTTCTATCTTGGTCCTACCGCCCACAAGGCCACCATATCCGCCACCGGAGTCAAGTTTCTCCCTTTCCTCGACGACGCAGATTTCAACAATTTGGCGTACTTTGCCTCTCAGTCTGGTGATGATGCCGGGGAAGGGGAAGCTCCTTTGCCCTCACCTCCGGTGTCTGAGCCCGAGGCTACTACCACAGACAAAGCTGCTCCAGAACCAACATGGCGCGACCGCATTTTATTCATCGCCCGGGAAATGATCATCTCTCCCATCCCCTCTCAGCACCGTTCTCTCCTCGCCGCTCTTGTTCATATGCACCGCCTCTACAGCAGCCACCCCTCTACCTCCCACCCTTCCATTCCTTCACAACGAAGGGTAATAGTCATAGCCGAATCAATGTTCAACGGCCTCCTCCCCTTATTCCACTCTGCCCCCCTCCCACCTTTCATCCCCAAGCCAATAGCCTTCCTCGCTCTCAGTGTCATGATACCCCCTCTCCGGTCTGTCGACCTGCCGCCGCTAATTACCGAACCCGTTGAATTCAGCACTACCTCCTCCTCCTCCTCCTCCTCCGAAACCCATCGGAAACGTGTCGCCGAGATGTGGAGAGATTGGGAGGTGGATACAAAGGACCTGAAAGATTTCATGGTAGAGAAGGTGGAACGAGAAGCTGGCGGGAAGGACTTTGCCAAAGCCATGGATGCACATGAAAGGAAAAAGGGGCGGGAAAGTGGTTGGGCGTGGTTAAGTGGGGAGAACTTTGTTGGGTATAATCATGTTTTTCAGGTTGGTGTCGAGAGCTGGTTTTATAAGACGGAGGAAGGGTGGCCGGGGAATTGGAGCTTTGTGGGGGTTGTGCCGAAGTTGGTTCCTGTCCTTGAGGAGGAGGCGAAGCAAGCGCTGGTGGAAGAGGTAAAGCGGGCGAGGGAAAAAGAAGGGAAGAAAGTGGTGGTGGTGACACAGGGTACGGTGGAGATTGACCCCAGACAACTCATCATTCCGACTCTTCAAGCTTTGAGTGCCCGACAAGAAGACATTTTGGTGGTAGCCATCTTGGGACATCGCGGCCGGAAACTACACAAGGACGTGCTGGTACCTGGTAACGTGAAGGTAACAGATTACCTCCCCTACGACGCTATCCTCCCTTATGCCGATGTTTTCGTCAACAATGCTGGTTACGGAGCAGTGATGCACGGCATTGGTCACGGGGTGCCGATGGTTGTCGCGGGAGAAGAACAGGATAAGAAGGAAAATGCGACCAGGGTGCAGTGGCGCAGACATGGGATCAAACTGAGTAGATCGTGGACGGAGGGAAAGGAGTACGTAAAGGAATTAGGGGAGGCTGTTGAGAAGGTTTTTGACGACAAGGAGGGGAAGGAAGTGAGGAAACGAGCTAGGGAACTGAAGGACGAAGCGGACGGTATTGATTGCGTCAAGACTGTCGAGGACTGTTTGTTGTCATATCTGTAATTCGAGTTCTCTCCTCTCCACTTCTCACTTTCGTCCGAAGTAGCCCCAAACAAGCAGACAAACCAACGGGTAGGTATATAAGCCAGGTCATTGGCACCTTTTCCTTGTGGTCCGCTGGTGTAATTGGTAAACACAACGCACCTGGCCTTTGACATAGACATTAACCCGGTCGCTAGTCTGGGAAATTTCAGGATATCGCCGGTTCGAATCCGGTGCGGGCCACACTTTTTTTTTTGCATCTTTCCATAACTTGTACCCCTTTTTTCTTGTGTTGATGGTTTTGGCGTCTTCATTCATGTGCTTTCTTGTATATCCGAAGAAGTATGGAGGTCCAACCACAACATGATGATATATGGCTGCCTGCCTGCATCGCATGCCACAACAAATTACAGCTTACTCCCCTTCCCCTTGGTCTTCTCAGTCGGAGCAGCAGCCATAGCCATAGCCTCCACCCTCTCCACCACCTCCAAGTCTCTCGGCACCCTCATCGCCGTCTTGACAACCTTCTTCACCACCCCACTCTCCGTCTTCTCTTCCTTTGTCTCTTCAACCTCCTCCTTCCTGAAATCCACCAGCACAACCCTCTCAACGTCTCCTCCCCGTCCACTATCCCTCAACTCATGTCCCGGCTTCGCCAGTCCCAAGATTACCCGTCCATTACCGTAACTCCCAGTCTTGGCGAAGCTGACGACTTCGGGACTCATGACCTTTTTTGCCCAGGGGATGTCGGAGGTGGGATGCTTGACGCTGGAAGTCGGCACACGGCGCAAAAACGACAAAAGCTTCTCGCGTTGCTCGCTGTAGTTTGATGAGTGGTTGGTGGGAAGGAACCGGCTGATGAGCGTCAGGAGGTAGAACTGCGGTGGGTAGAGGATAATTTCTCCGGAGGAGGCCTTGGCTAGCCAAGTAGATGGGGAGTCGAAGAGTGCGGCGGTGTGCTCGATGCCGCCGTCGTGGGTGGGGGTTTGGACTACGGTTCGGGTCTGCGATTCGGAAGTGTTGGTGTTGAGGGGGAGCATGTAGAGGTACATTTGCGTGGTGAAGCGTTTGCGCTGGTTTTGGGGCGTGATCCAGCGGGTGAAGGGGTGGAGGTTTTCTGGTTTTTTTTTTTTGGGTGTTAGCTTTGCTTTTCTGTTTACGTCTTTCCCCGTACCTGTAGGTCATGACTAGAACATAAAGAAAGGGGAAAGAACATACCAATATCAGCAACCCCGCCCTTTCCCTCCAACCACTTCCCAAACTTGATCCTATCCCCGAAAACTTCTTTCCTCCCCTCTTCCAGCTCCTCCTCACTCAACACCAGCATCTCATTCCCATCCCCATTTCCCCCACTTCCATTCCCCCCAGTCCCCTTCTTCCGCGCAAGCAAAATCCCACTCTCCTCAAACGTCTCCCTCACAGCCGCCAACCGATAAGCTTCACTATCCTTGTGCAACTCCCCGTTCTTTGGCAAAGGATAAAAGTCGCCTTCGTGAAACTCGGAAAGGTTGCCACCCGGGAAAACGTGCGCGGAGGCAAAAGAGGAAGATTTGGCGACCCGATGAAGCAAAAGGACTTGGTTGGTGGGAGATAAAAGGATGACGGAGGAGGAGGGGCGGATTGGGAGGGGGCCTGAGCCGGGACCGGAAGGGGTTTTGTTGAGTTGGGGTAGTTCGGCTTTGGGTGCGGATTTGGGTGGCATGGTTGTTGTGATTGTCCGTGTTGTTGTTGGTGTTGGAGGGTTGTATCTGGGTGCGGATGCGCGAAGGGTCCTGCGGGAATGTTGTGGGATTCGAGAAACAGTAGAGGCACTGAGCGTGCGCGTCTGATGTCGAAGACTTGGTGTCGACAAGTTGAAGACGTTACTGCCGATACCACTTGTCCGTGTCGTGAACCGGAGACAAGGCGAAGTCATGGTTTTTGTTTCTTCGATTTGCGGATGTGTCTTTGCTTTATGTTATTTTTCGTGGAATGACTATTCCCGGCCTGATCGCTCCCGAGGGGTTACAATCCGTTTCAACCTCGGTTCTTTTTTTTGGTTTGTTGGAGTTCGTTGTCCTGCGTGTGGTTGTGTTTACTTGATGGAATTCCAGGTTCCCCGCATCCGTCAGCCAAGACATTTGGCCCTGCTCCCTGAAGATAGTGGCTCCACAGGGCGCTCCGGGGTTCCGGGGTTAGGTGCGGCCCCACTACGGGGTGGGGATGCTGATATCCCCGGCTTCAATATCCACATGCCGGCGGTATTCTCAACATCATGGCTTCTTGATATGGATTGAATGTCAAACATTATGTTGCCAGTATCACACGACATCGAGGAAGACGGGCAAGTTCATGGAATATGGCCAAGTATATCTAACATCGCCCATCTTTTGATCGGCATTCCCTACCTGACAGATTCATATCGGCGGCAATTGTATTCCTACGCCAACAACCAGTGTGGTGTTTATTGAAACTTTTCGTTGATTGATTCGAGCGTGGTGTGTAAGCCCACTCCAGTTAGTCAACAGTTAAAAACTTCATATTCTATCTACACTACCTACGCTACCCGCGACTCACACATAGCACGAAGTTTGCTTGCTATATGTGCTCACCGGAAAACTACCAACGAAAATAACCAACCAAAAGTGAAAAAATGGTTACCCAAAAGGGGTAAGTAAAAACCATAGAAAGATGTAAAAAAAATGTGGTCCGCACCGGAATCGAACCGGCGACATGTTTGATCCCTCAGCCTAGCTGACCGAGCTAAGCGCAGTCGTCATAAGACCAGAGGTGTTATCAGTTACACCAGCAGACCACGGAAAATTAGGTCAAGCAGCTGGGTTATATACCCGTTGGGTTGGGTTGGTTGGTTGGACTTGGGACGGGAGTTGGAACTTGGGAGTTGGGATGAAAGTAGAGGAGAGGAGAGGAAGGGGAGGGGTCGAAGCAAACGAAGACGAGTGCGTGGACGGACTTCATCGACCACTTTCAATTCCTGGTTGCGACAGGGGACGCGCAGTCGTGAACCCAGGTGCGGTGGTGCATTTCAGAAGGGAATAGTTTTATATCGCCATGTCGTTGTTGAATGTCCATACTTCTATACACAAGAAGCCAGATGCCACGATCATGAAGACCTTCCCGCTCCTAGTCCTCACAAATTCCTAGCCAGCCCGCTCTTATAAGCCTCCAAAGCCCTCTCCCTCGCACCCTTATGTTCAACAATCTGTCTCGGATATCCCCTCTCCTCCAGTTTTTTCCTTATTTCCTCCCCTCCCGTCCATAAGGATCATGAATCCACCCTCCCTTCCCCCCAAGTTTCCCTCCTTCCAAATCCCTAAGTTCCTCCACCCACCGCCTAATATACTCCCCCCCCTCATCAAACTTCTCACTCTGCAAAAGCGGATTAAACACCCTAAAATACGGCTGCGGATCAACCCCCACACTAGCCGCGAACCCCCACCCGCCATTATTCGAAGCAAAGTCGCCATCAATCAAATGTTCCATGAAATACCGCTCGCCCATGCGCCAGTCTATTAACAAGTCCTTTGCAAGGAAGCTGGCGACGATCATGCGCAGCCGGTTGGGCATGAAGCCTGTTGATAGGACTTGGCGCATGGCGGCGTCGATTATCGGGTAGCCTGTCTGTCCCGAAGTCCAAGCGTGGAAGTGCGTGGGGTTGTAGGACCAGGTGATGTTGGAGTAGAGGGGTTTGAAGGGTTTGTTCATACTTTTGAGGAGAGGGGTTAGTGCGATGTGATTCCTATGGTAGATAGAAGCAGGGAAACGAAAGGAGAGTACGAGAAAAAAACATACCAAACATAAGGCCACCCCACCAAAACATGCCTATAAAACTCCCTCCACGCCACCTCGCTAATCCACCTCTGAATGCCCTCATTCCCCCCATTCAGCCTCTTCGTATTATTCCTATCCCTCGCCGCGCGTATCGCCGTCCTGGCACTCAGCGTTCCCGAAGCAAAGTGCACCGACAATTTACTCGTCCCGCCTTCCACAGAAGGAATGTCGCGCCGCTCGGCGTACTTGCCGATATTCTCGTCGCAGAATTTGTGTAATCGTTTGAGCGCTTCGTGCTCTCCTGCTGGCCAGAGGGCGCGGTAGCGGGCTTTGGTTTCGTCGTTGTCTGGTAGATTTTTGTTCTCGGGAGCTGGGGGGATGGGACAGGTGAAGAGGTGCGCGTACTTGGATTTTGTAGAGGGTGGGTTTGGTAAAGGCTTCTCGTAGATTTCCAAGCAGTCAGGGTTTTCCTCCACGTGCTTGATCCATGCTCGATACCAAGGGCTGTAGACGGCGTATTGGCCTCCGCTGCCACTTTTCAGGGCGCCGGGCATGACGACGCAGGTGTCGTGCACTACTTCCGCTACCATCTTTTCGTCACCCTCTGCGAAAATCTTGACAAGCCTAGCCTCCCTCCTGAGCTCATCAACTTCATACTCCATCGCACAAAACAAGTGACTTGCCCCCCAAGCCTGCATCAACTCTTCTATCCTCTTCGGGACATCTTTGCGTTTTTTTGACGGTCTCAATCCACAACGGAATGCCCAACGCCTCCAAGTCCCTCTTTAAGATCTCCAACGTTCTCAGCATGAAATCCACCCGTATGGGAGCCCTCAAATGCGCCTCCAGATCTTCCGGACTCAAAACGTAAAGACAGATCAGCGGCACACCCGCTTCTTGAGCTTTCTGACTGGCTAGCCAGAGAGAGCGGTTGTCATGTAGTCGGAGATCCATCTTGAACCAGTGGACTACCGCTTGGCGGACTGGTAAGGACTTGCGCAGGGCAGCGGTCTCGGCTAGTGCGGCGTAGAGGGTTTCGATGGGCCGGGGCAGCTCATTGTTGTTGTAGGCTTGGGCTCGCGCGTTGGACATTTCCGAAGGGTAAAACTTGCGGAGGACGATGCCGTGGGTTTCGGAGTCTTTGTAGAAGGGATGTGGTGTCTTGAGGGGATCCAGGGAGGCGTTGGGGTTGGTGGGAAGAGGGGCATCGGTGGTGGTTTTGCGCTTCTTGTCGGTTTTTGGGTCGCCGTTGATGCGTGAGGTTTGGGGCGGCGCGGTGGCCTTGCGCTTGGAGGGCGCCATTGTTGATTTGGAATTTTGTAAGATGGTGGTGATGGTTGGTAGGAAGACGCTTGTCTTTGGTGTTGACGAGATGCGGATGGTGCGAAACATGGAGTTGTATGAGAAAGGAGAAATGGAAACAGAGGTTATTTTACCTTCACCATTGCCACAGCCACAGGATAACTACTTTTTATGATGTGGATGCGCGTGTGATGGGAAGGCGATGCTTTGTGCAGTCTGATCGCTCGATCTCTGCGGTACGTCATGGTGTTATTGAATCGAGACGGATCGCGCCCCTTCCGTTCCAGTCATTTGCTTTGTTAGCGCATCTCCAGCAGCGGATCTCCAAATGCAGGGACATGCGGGTTTCCATGGCAATATTTTGGGACGAACGGAAACATGAGGGAAGCATTCATTGGGAGGAACTTTCCTCTGCAGATATCGACTGCCTTGCAAACAAATTCCCCTCAACATGTCAGCACATTTCACAAACAAACAATGAAACACAGCAACCCCTTTTGGACGTTCAAACATATTCCAAGAAAACTGGACTTCCAGCACAAGAATAATGACAGCATGTAAGACTCGTATCTGTACCACGACGAATCACTCGCTCGTCACAGCCTTTCAAAGCCTCGATGTTCAATCTGCGGCATGGAAGCTATCAAGGTAGCTCCAGAATCCCCAGCCTCGAGTATTGTAACCCGGGGAGACTTGTCTAGCCGGGGTGTGTGTGTAGTAGGGGATGTCACGGTCGGTTGGATGCTGGATTCGGTGCAGTATCACGATCGGATGTGTGTGAAATGTTCGGCATCGGCGCGAGGAGGAATCGATGGACGAGCGGAACGGTATGCGGACGTAAAATCGTTCAGATCATCAATGCCAGTGTATTTTTCCGAATGAGAAACAATATCCTTCTGACGCCATTGAGCCTTTGTGTCCATCAAAGATGCATTTCCGCAAATCCCAGAGTTTCCCAAACCCAATGTCGTGGTCCCGCTGCCAGTAGTTGTTCGTCCCAAGTCGTTTCCTGCCTTCTCAACAGGTCGTTCTTGTGTCCAGATCGATCATGTGTCGGATATTGTCTGAATTGTTGGGTATCATATCAGCAAATGTGCTCTTCCGTCGATAGTGTCGATTTGTGATTTCGAGTGTATTCGCGTACCATTGCCTCATTCGTTCGGGAAAAAGCACTTAGCGCTGGGGGTTCCAGACGGCCTTGAGGAGACCATCGCGCTGGGCAAGGCGGTTGAGGGAGTCGTCAGACTCGCCCATGGCGCGAACGAAGCCGGAGAGGGCGTAGATGATGTTCTCGCCCTGGATGGCACGGCCGTTCTCGTCGACCTTGGCGATGGTGATCTGGCAAGAACCGTGGTCCTTGGACTTGATGATGCGGCCCGTCGCAGAGCACTTGCGGGGGACGTAACTGGAATGCCCTGTGTCAGCACATTTTCACCCTTTTGACCAAAAGTCAACATATGGGCAGCAATAATCATACAGGTCGACAATTTCGCCGCGATCGTTCTCCATTTTGGCTGTCTTTGGGGGTGCTGAGACTGCGGTTGGGGGTGTGTGATCTGGTGACGAGGAGCGGGCAACAAGCGCAGAATTCCGACTTGGTTAACTTGAATTTCGACACAAAATCGCAGTTTGGTGTGCAAGCCCCAAGTGTGGGCTGCCGGTGTTGTGCACGGACCGTTTCTAGTCACTTTTTGTGGCTAGTGTGCTTCCCTGGTTGTGGCTGCGGTCTAGACTTGGAGTTCAACCAGTCCCTTTGTAAGGTACCTGCACTAACAACAAGGGCCCGGACTGTCAGGTGATAGCGCGCTGCAGTCGCGATCTTGGTCCCTGCAAAATGGAAGCCGTAGAGGTTCCCATCGCCAATTCGCTTAATTGATGGTTGATGGTGCCTACTTTTGTTTCTTTATAGCATACCTTGAGTTGGGTTGGATTGTCTTTTTGGCTTGGGCTTTCATACTCAGTAACATCATATGTCTCTTGGCTGAGTCCCGTCTTCGCCCTTCGCCAATCTCGTCGCCTTCCTGTTTTCTTGATTTCGCGCGGCGCATCGAGTCGCCAAGTTGCCCCGAGCGCCCATCACCGTCACCAACCAAAGTCTTTGCGCCGGAATTGTTTACTCTACCGACACATACGGAAAAGATTTGGTACTCTTTCCAACAACACCAATTCGAATGGCGCATAATGACACGATAGACATCATCTCCTCGTCGCCAGAGTTCCCAGACCTCTTCGCGCCAGTCGCAAAGGCACCACCAAGGAAACCAACCTTGCGAACCGGTAGCAATGCCGCACCTATTCCCACTGAGCCTGTCGGATTCGGTACCTTGACAAGTGCTGCTAGCATCTGGCGCTTGTCGCAAGTCGTGGAGGAAGAAAACCCTGCGCAAAAGTCGCCACCGAAGCCAACAACAACAAAGGAGACTACGGCGATAGCAACATCCGTGTCTGCAGTAACGGTTGAGGTGTCAACGACAACAACAACCACGGTGCCCGGGGACAAGCCAGCAAAGAAACCCAGGAAGCCGAGGAAAAAGAAAGACGAGACAACAACGGTCACCGACGAAAATGCGCCACCCAAACCACCAGCAAGAAGGGGAAGACCACCCAAGCAAAAGGACGCGGATGGACAGACTGCTTTACCCAAGTCCAAACCAGCGGCAAAACCACGGGCTTCAAGGAAGAAAGCTGAGACTGAACAAGCATCTTGCCGCTTCTGCTCATGCTTCTACGGCCGATACCCCGTCCCAGAGGAGCCCTCGAAAGCTCCCGTTGCGCCCAAGGCTCCAAAATCCGCCCCTGTACAGATTGACGACGAGCCAGTAGATCTAGAGCCGGCAGATAGAAGAAGACTGGATTGGACACCACCGCTAGATGACGGACCATCACCAGCTGCCGGCAACTCGTCTACTGTCAAGGAGCTACCGTCCTCTACGATTGCCCATATCGAACCACCAGTGGCATTTGGAAAGCTCTTGGATACATACGGCTGTAAACCAGAGAATGATCAGCCGAGTGAAGTCACTAAAGCTGATGTTCTCGGGAAGAGAAAGCTGATTGAGATGGTCGCTACCACAACTACTACAACAGACAACCCCACAGGTCCACAGACATCCCTAGCCAAGGCGAAAGCCCCCAAGAAGAAGCCACGCACAATCACTGACCTAGCAACGGCCGCCTACCGAATACAAGACCCAGTCGACGATTCTGCGTCCACGGTGACATCGAAACAAGACACTCTCCTAGGCTACATTGACGTCGAGGACGACAAGGCTACTACCAAACCGAGTGATGCCAAGACAAAGGCCGCCTCCAAGAAGCCAGCAAAGCCCCGGGTCTCCAAGAAGAAACCGGAGCCTTGGAAACAGCTGTTGTTATCTCCCCAGAGCGCACTCAGGCAGGTGTCTGGTCAGGATTTCGTCTTTGGCACCTCAAGCCAGCTAGTGACAGAAGACACCGATCTCCTTCGTGCTTTGCACGAGTCAATGAAGACCGCAGGCAACGCGCCGGACAGCGATCCCTTTACATCGAGCCCGGCCAAGTTCAGCAATCTTGCTAGCAGACGCAGGACAGGGAACAATAAGCTTTGGAGGGTGGGAGCTAGAGATGAGGACGGGGATTTGTTGGATTTGGAGGTATTTGATCTGACTGAAGCCGTAGATGTGCCGGAAGATCTGTTACAGCTAGCTAACAGGCCGTCTGCTGGTGTGCCTGAAGAGACAAGACCCGGAAAAGAAGCCGAGGGCAAGACGGAAAGAGCAATCGAAATATTGTCATCTGATCCCGTTGTCCCAGAACGACCCACGGCTACGAGGCCCGAGACTCAGATCACAGCACTCTCAGCAAAGGGAAAAGAATTGGCCCGGCATACTACGAAGCCTCCGCCGCCAAATCCCGTTAACACTCCACGAGCGAGAACACCACAGTGGATACGTTCGCCTTCGAGAGAAAGCACACCTCCGCAACCAAAGGTCTTCGCACGAGCAAAAACGCCTCCACGACCGACCACGCCCCCGCGAGCAAGCGCCGTACTTGACTTCGACTTCGATTTCGACTTCGACGACTACGAGCCACCACCAAGTAACCAAGAACACTACCAACTCCTCGAGCAGTCCCAAAAGACCGCCAGCCCTTCCAAGACACAGCAGCAGCAGCAGGGACAGCAACAGAAACTCCAACAGCAACCGCAGCCGCAGAAAAAGATGGACCCTCGACCTCCACCTCGCCCAAAATACGAGCTTTTTACTGATGCCCAACTGAGCCGAGAGACCGCTTCTTACGGATTCAAGCCGATCAAGAGGCGTGCGGCTATGATTTCTTTGCTTGAAAAATGCTGGGATAGTAAGATGGGGGTGACAAGTACAGGTAGAGGTACAGGGGCGGACCCCATTCCAGCATCTCCGAACCCTGGGAGGGGCCAAGCGGCGAAAAGCGCAACTGTGCTAAAGGAGGTAGAAGGAGCAGGAATAAAATTGGCCGCTGCACCGGCGACGAAAAGACCAAGGGGAAGGCCGAAGAAAACCTTGGCTCCGGTTGCTACTGCGTCTCCTTCGCGCAGCACCACGAACAAACGAGAAAAAGCTGCTGCTGCAGGAACAGCAAACCAGACAGCAGCATCAACCTCGAAAACTGCACCAATACCTGTTATGTCCGCATCAACACCCAAGCGCCAACGCATAAGCGTCCTTGAAATTCCCGACTCGGATATCGATGACTCCGATTCCAATCCGTTCGCCTCCTCTCCCCTCCTCGCCTCCTCTCCCCTCCTCGCCTCCTCGCCCGATGCCTCCCCCTCCGCATCCCAGCTTTTCTCCACTCCCGAAAAACACCCAGGACAAGATCACGACGCGGTTGAAATGTCCCTTCTAACCGAATGCGAAGAGTCGCTGCTAGACATCACCTCCTCTACTTCCTCGGAAGCTAATCTCTTCAAACACATGACACGAGCTATCACCACGGCTCCTCGCACCAGCAATCCTGCCGAGCCCTCCTGGCATGAGATGATTCTTATGTACGATCCTATCATATTGGAAGATTTGACGGCGTGGTTGAATACAGCTGGACAGGGATTGGATAGCGTCGGGTGGGAAGGCGAGGCGGGCACAGATGAGGTGAGGAGGTGGTGTGAGAGTAAAGGCGTGGGGTGGGTGTGGAGGGAAGGGAACAGGGGGCAGGTTAGGAAGAGGTTCTGAGGGGACAAGACTGGATATAGGAGGAGTTTGTGTCGGCCGTCGGCTGGAGGGTTGGGAGCGGGATATGAGGGTCATGATGCTTTTGCTTGCACGTGTGTGCTTGGAGAAACTGGGAATGACTGACGGGATTTGGGTATCGGCGGGTTGGTGGAATGTGCATGATGAGGCCTTGTTGTGGGGGGGTTTTTTTTGGGGGGTTTTTTTTTTCTTCCCGGACATTGTTGACGACCTTCAGAAACAAATGGCAACTTTGCTGATTTGATGCGAGATCCAGACGAGGCGAACGGGAATCACCTTGTTACAGTCACTTTCCCCAAGCTTTTCCCTCGAAACTGGACTCAGTCGCCATGCAGGCTACATATATGCCAGGCTGCATGCATGGAATATTTTATTTCTTGAAGCCTGGTTCCTGCAACTATTTTGCCGCATGGCTTCCTTTCAAGTGTGCCATATGGCCTTGTTAAGGAATATGAATTTCTTTACCACTGCCATTTATATAATCATCATTCCATTTTCCAGTTTGCTCCCTTCTCTCTCTCTCTCTTTTATTTTCCATATATCAAGCACCTTTCGATCACAAACGCTCTATCACAAACCCTTCAATACCACTATCAACAACTACCTTTACCAATTGCACATTGTCAGAAAAAATATCACGATGTTTGACCCTGTCATCTTCCTTCCGTTACTGTTGGCCATGGTGTCAACGGCATCCGCAAACGTCACCACTAAATTGGTACCAGTGGTCGAGACAATTCCCGATCCGACCCCCTCGGTCGGAGAGTTCTGGATCGACGAAGACAAGTCGATTCCGCTCAGACTGACCACCGTCACACATATCGATGCCTCCCAGTCTACCACAGTGGTGCCTGTCATCATTAGCTCGCCCAAGGTCGATGAGATCGTCCACCAGTCCGTCGCCGTCTTCACCGTCCCCGGCCAAGTTGCTCCCTCCCCGTCGAGCAGCGATCACAACGGTACCCACCACATTCCCGTCGTCGAAGAGGAGCACAGCGGAAACAGCCAGCATGTGGGCCCCACGACTGTCTACCAAACCGTCTACCTCCCCAGTCCATCAAGCACATCGACTTGGTCGACTGCATATGAAGATTCGGTCACGATTGTCTTAACGGTGTATGTCAACAATGCTGCTGCCACCGCCAGCACTAGCACGTCGTCGTCGTCGACAACCACAAGCGAGGTAGGTCCTATTGTCGTTACGTCCGTGAACACGGTCTACCCCAACGTGTCAACTTCATCTTCTTTCTCTTCGTCGTCGTCGTTGTCGTCGTCATCGTCATCCTCATCCATGTTGCAACCACAGCCCACCAGCACCTAGTATATCACGGTTGTCATACCCAAGCAGTCGTCAGCCACACCAAATGTCGTCGTCGTGGAGTCCCAGAAGTCATCTCAACTGGAGCCTACAACCACACAGTTCATCACGACCATCACGACTCAGTCTGCCAAACCCAATGTCGTCGTCATGGACATACCAAACAAGGCGTCCACCGAGGTCATCACGATTACCGAGTCCTCTGATCCCAAAGTTGTGGTCGTCCAACCCAAGCCGTCCACCGAGGTCATCACAGTTACGGAGCACGGCAAGCCCAATGTCGTCGTCGTGCAACCCAAGGAGTCGAACGAGGTCGTCACGGCTACTGATTCCTCTAAGTCGAAGGTTGTTGTCGTCCAGGGGCAGTCAAAAGAGTCCTCGCGCTTCATCACCATCGTCAAGACTTTGCCCAGCGGGGTAACCGAAACCGACATCATTGTCGTGAAGCCCAAGGACCCTGCCACTGCCACTGCCACTTCAACCGAACAACCCGTTCAACAAGAAGCCAAAGCCACCACCAACACAGTACCTTCAACCACGGTAACCAAAACCAACCTCCAAGTGATCACCAAAAAGGTCACAAAAAACCCACCTCTCCACAAGCATCTACGTGCCTGAGCCTCCTCCCATCACGCCCACGGTAGGAGAGGTAACCAACCTCATCACCCAAACCAAAACCCAAAAAGTCACAAAAACCCACTTTTCCACCAGCTACCTTGCACATGGTGCACCTCCTCCACCCGCACCTGAACCCGCACCCGAACCCTCACCACCCGAACCCGCAGTGGTGACAGTCGTCGAAGTCGTCACCGTTTCCAACGCGCACCCCTTCGGTATTGGAGCTTCACATACCCCTGCGGCTTACTACACCCACCAGCCGGACGCAGATCCGGGCGGTATCCATTGGGCGCAGGGCGTGCATACGGTTCCTGGAGATAGGTCGGCGGAGTTTGAGCGGCTGAAGCCGCCAGTTTGGCCTACTTGGGAGGTTAATGTGGTTGTTGCTCCTTGGAAGCAAACTGAAAGTGAAACTGGAGCTGGAGCAGCAGCTGCTGCTGCTAAGACTGGAATGCACATGGGCATGGACATGGAGGCGGCTAGGAGCACTACTTCGGTTACCACCCCGGTTAGTGCTGTTGAGACTACCTCGACTCCGACCTCGACTTCGATCTCCTTGTCTACCGTGGAGGTTACTTCTGTTGTTGACGTTACCTTTGATGTTCGTCCCAGGATCAGGGTGCGGGTGCGGGTGCTGTTGACAACGCCCAAGCTCAAGCTACATCTACTGTCGAGGTTGAGGTTGAGGTTGAGGTTACTTCCACGTCCGCCTCCGCCGTCGAGACTACCTCTGCCTCTGCCTCTACCATTCATACCACCTTGACTTCTCCCATTGTCCACACTACCTCTACCTCCACCTCTACACCTGTTATTGAGATTATTTCCATAACAAACGTTGTCGCTAATTCCGATGCTACTACTCAGGATACCCACGAAACGCCTACTACCGAGCACGAGCACGAGGGTGATGATACCACTACCTCGGAGGCCGATGGCACTCAAGAGCCGCAGGAGCAGGAGTCGCCTGACATCGTCCACGTCCACGTCCAGGCCCGCGATTCCAATATGGACAACATTGACAATAACATCAACCTCGTCGCGCAAGGATGCAGAGACAGGAACCCCAAGGGCTGGATCACCCTCTCCGGAACCAGAAGCAATCCTAACCCTACGTACGGTCCCCCGCTTACTTGGCCGCAACACTGTGACGGGGGAATCACTTTTATTACTGCCATTCGCAAGATGCCTTCATTTATCACGTCTACGTCCATCGACAACGCTGCCGCTACTCCGATGATAACCGCTGCTCCTGCTCCCAGTTCCCATCCTGAGCTCGAGCCCACCGACAGCAGCGACAGCGAGAAACACGAGTCACTGGATGCAGGTGGTGATATCATGACGGCCCATGTCACTCGTACACCTGCACAGACCTCGTATAGCACCCGTACCTTGACATGCGGTAACCGGATTCGCGACAACGACAGGGGCACCGTTGTGAACATGAAGCACAAGAGGATCGAGGACAATATCAACGCCGAGGAGCACAATGCCATCAGCATCATCGCCGAGCACAACATCACCGAAGTCCAACAGGCGCTCGTATCTCTCGCTGTGCAAGATGGCGGAAAAGACGGTGACTTCTGGTCCGAAATCGGCGACGGCATCAAGGAGGGAGTCGAGAGATTCGGGAATGATGTTGTGGAGGGGCTCAATAATCCGATTTGCTTTCTGATTCCTTGCCACCATGCCAAGTTTGGCGACCATGCTCACCGTGATCACCATGGTTAGAGTTGAGTAGAGTCGAGTAAGGAAAGGACAGGGCAGAACAGCAAGAAAGCGAGATCTGAGGTTGGTGGATGAAGCATTATGGTAGGTACAGGCGCAAATGTTCAACAACTGAACAACACGAAGGGAAGTGGAAGTGGAAGTGAAGCGCGGCAGGTTTGATGGCTACTATCGACACACATGGAAGAGATTTGGGAAACTCGCATACCTATCAGGGAGTTGGCGAGAAGGGGGGAATGGGGGAGAAAAAAGGAAAAGGAAAGAAAAAAGAGAGGAAAGGAAAAAAAAAAAAGAGAGGAAAAGAAAAAAAAAAAAAAAAAACAAAGAAGCAGGACAGAACAGGGCAGTGTCTAAAGGTCCCGCTCTGCAAAGACGGAACTGCCTGCCTGCCCTTGAGATTATCATGACGGAGGCCGGTCTAATTTGATCGTTATCTGGGTAGGCAGACCAGATCGTGTACCCCATTGGGATTTGGGGACTTTGGGGACTTGGAGTTGGACTTTTGGGAGAATGACGATGATGTGGCTTTATACCTCTATGTAAAATGTGTAGACATGATACCTTGCCTTACTTCATCATGTCTGTGATCTCAGTTGTCGCCGTTTTACTAAATCTAAGAACAGGGTCTTAATAATGTTTTTCTCGAGAAGATTATACTTCATAACATGTTTTCCAATACCAACCTGTACAACACGGAATTAAAAAAAATATCAGTGTCAACCTTTCTTGTATACACCGAAAAAGTCTAGAAGATACTCGGTAAAGTACCTGTGGTGGTGGGCGACGACTTGACCGGTGGGTTACAAAAGCCATTTTCAGTTCTGGGCCTGTAGGTGAATTTCAACATTGGATTCTTCTCTTTTACATCATCTTTCAGGTCAACTACTCAACCCTTCCAGCCACTATTACTGCCTCTTCCCCAATAACCGCGACTCATCATCATGCCTACCTTTTCTGGAGATGTAATCCATGATGCACTATTGGAGAAGCGTTTGGTTATTTCTTCTCACTGGGAACTGAAATTTGGGAGGATCGGAATCTCCTGGCTCGCTTTGAATGTCAACAAGTGTCTTTTGCCGCGCGAAGCCATCATCATCACCAGATTCAACAAGGGACGATGCCCAGAAGTTGGCTTTCGTCGACGGAGGTGGTTATTGCGGACTCATTTGCTTTCGTGAACCTGCCGTGACCAGGCTTCTGTCCCGTCTCGTCGTTCCTTCCAGTCACGTCGAGGCGGTCCCTTTCGTCTCCCATAGACCCTCCACTGATTTCAATTCTATTCACCTCATTCTTCAAGGCTTTCATTCACTACCATTCATCACTTCAATCGCCAACAAGACCGTCCACCATGTCCGCACTCTGGACTGGACATTTAAAGCTCAGACGAGCGTCGCTTCCATGGCTGGTACATCCCCTTCCTCCTACTTGCAACAACTGCCAGACACAGCTCATATTTAACCAAACTAAATATGGCAATCCTCAGCTGCCTTCCCGGCCTTGAAGTAACCGTCGAGGTCGACAGCCAGCGTGCCCACGAATACGACGCCGGTCTAGAGGAAGTCGAGTCGCGCGCGGAGGAGAGCAACTTCCACCCGATTCAACAAACACTCCAGCACCGCCACTTTGGAGTCCCGTACGTACTGAAATACATCGAGGCCAAGCCCGGTAAACGATTTATCTTCGTCGTCGATATGACCAACTGTCATCACGTTTTCGACTGGAACATCGGGCCGAGCGAACAGCTCAGCTACTCGTGCCATTTGGACGGCTTCTGCGCCGGGTTATTGCGAGCTTGTAATGGTGTCCAAAACGTAACGGAATACTGGGCAACTGGGAGTAGAGTTGCGGGGTGGAAGAGACGCTATTTTCGGTTTGAAGGGCTTGATGTCCGTGAGTACAAACTATAATGCTGACTGGTTATGTTTTCCCATGCTAAATCTATCATCAATATGATGGTTCAGTTGAAGGAGGGGATGGTTCCAACGCCGAAAATGCCAAAAAGTACGGCACCCTTCCAGTCAGACTTTTTCTCAAGGTCGGGACAGGCCGCATCGCAGCTGCTAAGGATGACATAGAGGGCCCTCCCCTCATCCACTCCGTGCATGAGAAGGACTTGAAGGGTAGAGCCGTCGACAGCAAGGTCAGGTAAGATATATCTATAAGAACGAAATACTCACTCACTCACTCACTCGCCAACACCTACCTACCTACCTACCTACCTACATCTAGGTATAAAATAGTTGCAATTGAGTGTCTATCTAGACAGAATGCTTCCTTAGGTACCGACGTTGAATCGCCTGCTTACCTTACATCTGCCTCTATCTAGCTTCAATTCCGAACCCATTGAGCATCAACCTGACCTTAACCCGATTCATACGACAAAGTGTGTCGATCCTCGCGGCCGACCCATCGCCGTATTTGAGTTTCGGTATCGAACTATGGTTTAGTCTCCCTCCCCTCCATCGTACTCTCTCGTCAAAATTGCTGCTTACACCAGACTTTTCCATACTATCACAGAGGGTCTTCATCAAGAATGCGTCATCCCCTGCCCCCGCCCGGTTCATGTTGTTGTTAACGCCGACGAAGACGAAGATAAGGAAGTCATCGATGTTGAGGAAGAGGATAAGGTAACCATTTTCCATTATTAAAAACTTGCAAAGAGGCAGGAGAAAATGAACAAGAAATAATGAATAAGCTAATAAAGATTGTTTGTCCCACAGAAACGCATCAAGCGTGAGCCGGAAGATGATGCCTCCCGAGGCCTCAAGCGAGAAGCCCCCAAGAACGATGCTCAGTACCCTGTCAGCAGCTACAAGCTGCGCCGCTTGGACAACGGAGATGCCGAGATTGATCTTACGGACGACTGACGGATTTCTGATTTATGTGGAGGGATTGAAAGGCATTGATGTCATCAGCTACATATACCTTGGTTTTAGCAATCTGAAAGAAGGGATTTAAATGGTACGGCCGGGCCGTGGAAGGCACAGGCTGGAACATGAAGTGTCTGTCTCATAGCTCAAAGGTCAAATACCTCTATGCAGAAAACACTCTGAAAGGAAGTGGCTTCATCCACGGGGAGGTACGCGTACGTCTACATGCAATTCTCAAAATGGGCAGCTTTGTGAAGCAACAAGTCCAGTGAAGAGAGTAAAGCGTGGTTGGCACAATGAGGACAAAAAGTTGAAAAAATCACTACTAGTGTCGTGACTTCCTATCTTTGTGTGAGAGAGGAATAAAAGTCTTTTGGTAGTAAATACATGATTGATTGACGCTCACTCTTGAGAGAGAGAATATGGAAGATGACTATCACCCTATCGCCCTATCTATTCCTGGTGCTGTATTTGACACTACGTACCGAGCCAAACCAGACTCACATCAGTAACAGTCAATCCGGCCGGCCCAGAGAGCCAAGTGTGTAACCAGCCTATCTTGTCATCGATAAAGTTTGACAGCGCACCCACCCTGGCGCTTGGTTCTTGAACCAAACCGAAACGAAAACAAAAGTAGGTACATTTCCCAAATAGTGCCACATCCCTCGCATAGACACTAGTCATTGTTTGTCCGTCAAGTCAACTTCGAACTTTCCGTTTTCCAAGCGGCGTTGCTTGTACCTGGTAGCAAACAAGGCAGCGAATGGGGCAGCATTTGCCTAGTCCATCGGCATTGGGGCTTCTCGCTTGATACCTTTGGGTTGGCGCATTGAATCTTCCTCGGGTTCTTGTTTGATAGTGATGAGACGCTGCTGTTGTGGGACAGTGACAGAGAACGGTTAATATTTCGAGAGGAAATAGTAAACCTGAAGTGATAAAGAGAGTAAATGAAATGCTACTAACCTTGACCTTTTCCTCGACATCGACATCGACAACTTCTTGTTCGTCCTCAAACTTCTCTATCTTAAGAACCAGTGTTGGTACCGCACGGCGAGAGATGACAGCTTCTTGGTAGAGACCTTCTAGTTATATGGTAAACGGAAGTGTAAGCAGCGACTCTGATGAAAGAAATATGCGATAGACTCGAGATATTTAGACTTACCCATAGTTCGATACCTAAACTCAAAGACAGCAAAAGGGCGGCCGCGATGATCGACAAATTTGCGTTTGCGGCCTGGACCAGGGCGCGCAATAGGCTCGGAATCAAAGCTGACCTTGCTGTCAAGCGCTTTACCTTTCAAGTCCTTCTCGCATACCGAGTCGATAAGGGTTGGGCCGGCTCTGCCGGGATGCGGTACAAGACGGCCTCGCTTGCCTACTAGATAAAGTTTGACGAGAAGCGTGCCGTACTCTTTGGCTTTTGAGGCTTGGGACTGGGACTGGGACTGGGTACCATCGCTTCCTTCGACTGAAATTGTCATGATCATGTTAGCCACTGGTTAACAAATACATCAAGTCAAATAAGGTAAGATAAACTACCAACAACTTACGAACATCCAAGCTTCTAAAACGAAACTTATTCTTCTTCCAGCCCGCGGCATCACTACCCGTCGTGCAAGAATATCTCGTATCCCGGGTCCCGCTGTATACGTGCTTCTTCCCGGTACTGAAACCGTCCAGAACACATGAGTAATAGATGCTCGGCCCTTCCGTGCCTGCACGTATACTACTGAAAACATCCTCCAGATTGGGACAGTTCCTCATGTCGAAGATGAAGCCAAAGGGCTTGCCTGGCTTGGCTTCGATGTACTTCAACACGTAGGGAGCTGGGGCTGGAGCTGGGGCTGAAGCTGCTCCAAAGCGGAAGCGGCGGCGGCGGCGGCGGAGGTGATTGTGGTGTGTCTGCTGTTGGATGGAGTGGAAGTCGATTTCCTCGGCGCGCGACTCGACTTCATTTGGATCCGCGTCGTATTCTTGAGCGCGCTGGCCGTCGACTTCAATAGTTACTTCGAGGCCGGGAAGACAAGTGAGGATTGCCATATTTAGTTACTTCGATAGCTCTATGAGCTGCCTTTAGGGTTTCAGACCGGTTGCAAATTGTCGTTGAATTCTCGTGTTGAGGAGAGGATGTGGGACAGGTGGTGTAGAAGGAAGATGCCAGCCATCGAAGTGTTGTTTGTCTGGGCTTTAAATGCCCGGTTCAAAGGGTGCACAGTCCATGTCTTATAGGAAAGTGAATGGTCTAAGAGCTGTGAATGGAACTGGGCGCTGAATGCTGCCGCCGCGGGTCGCCTTCGTAGACGCAAAAGACAGAAGGCGCGACCGGAAGGAACGACCGGATGGGAGACGGAGGTCTGAATGGTTGCGGTAGGTCCACGAAAACACGTGAGTCCAAAACCTTGAGCTCCCGCAGGCACCATATACATCTACGTTATGGAGTGGAGTATATTCATAATGCACTTCGCTCACTGACCCCAAAGCGGAACGAATCTATACGAAAAGAGGGAGGGGAAAACTACTGTCTGTTGTGGTCGATGATGACTGTAAGCGGCAAAAGCCACTTTCATTCTCTGTCGAAGAGGACCACGTAAGAGATGTCACAACTCCCAGATATTTGAAAGAGGAAGATAACCCAACAATGACTCAAAAAGGTATACTTTGGCGAGTGTATACAAGTATACAACAAAAAGCTCACCGGAACCCATATTAACAGGACTTCATACCAACCTAAGTTAAGTAACAGCTTCACTAAGCAAAACCTTTATCTTCTAATTGCTTAAGAATAATCGATTAGCCCCTCTCTCCTTTCCTTAAGGGGGTAGAGGTAGACAAGAGCAGATGACTATCACCCTATATCTATCTATGCCTAGTGCTGTATCTGACACTACCGAGCCGAGCCAGACTCATATCAGGCCGGCCGGCCGGAGAGAGAGCCAACTGTGCAACCAGCGCATAACAATCTAACAGAAACAAAAAAGTAGTTGAGCCCTTCATACCATGGTGGCGGATGGTGTCAAATACATATATCTCAAATCCGGGCATTCTTGCCCTTTCCGAGCTTAAATGACTAATAACCGTCGAACCGAAAACTCCCCTCTAACCAGGGACCCGATCTTCTCTCACCAAGAACATCAAGAGCATGGCACCTCCAGCCATGTTCTCATCGTCCTTTCCTGAACCAAACCGAAAAAACAAAGCAAATCGCACAAGAGTACCTCTATGTATCGGGACCGGGTTTTCTTGAGACCTGTACAAGGTATGATATATAGGTACCTTCTCGCCAGCATCCGTCGTGATATTGCGAAGGAGTAGCCACAAGATGCAAATGAAGCAGAAGGAACCAAGGCAGATAGTGGCTGTACGGGCTTGGGTTGGTTGAAAGTAAATTCCTCTAGGAGAAAAGAATTCCATGTTTGTCGTTTCTGCCCTCTGGTTCTCCTTCGTTGCTTCGCTTTGGGCTTGACTTTGGTTCGTTCCCCTTGCTTTGTCTGCATCGTTGCTGTTGGGTAATTTGAGTGTGAAGTATGTGGGATTGATATGCACCTACCCAGGTAGCGGAAAATGTCGAATCAGTGTTGGCGTGCTCGGTGCCGGGTGATAATATCCTGAGAGCCGGAACGTAGCGGCGTACAACATGGGAACCGACACCAGGAGGCAAAGGAAGGGAAAGAAACTATCGTAAACGAACAGTCAAGGTATGAGAAGAGAGAACCATGACACTCGCCTTGAATGAGCATACAGCAACTGCTTACTGAATTCATCGTCCCCTTCAATTTATTCATTCATTCTTCCTCACCATCTTCTTATTTTGACCTCAGTATACTAACACCATCATAATCAATACAACAGCTAATTCCTTATATTCCCACTCAGGCTATCCACCACCGACACCAACACTACAGTGAACATGGCCTGACAGCACAAGACGGAATAATCCAAGATCCATGAGTCGATCAATCATCATCACCCAACCTCTCCACCCTCGGCCCTTGCTTCTCCAACGCCTTCCTCAACAGCGCGAGCTTGCCCTTCCTCCTCGTTTCCCTCGCCCTAATCTCCTTCCTCTCTTCCTCGGTAAACATGCTCACCTTCTTCCTCGGACTGGGGCTAGGGGCGGCACTAGTTCCCGGCGTGGTGCTCCTGACCGATGCAGAAAAGAGAGACTGTGAGGACTCGCTCCTAATACTCCTGATTGAGTCTCTTGGGGTAAACGTCATGGAGCTTCTCAGGCTGGCAGTGCTAGCCTTGAGTGGGTTAAGTGTGGGTGTGCCCTCTCTACCCTCCGACGTCTCGCGGGATTGGGAAGACAGTTTAAGTCTTTGGATCTGCGCCTCTAGTAGATCCACATCGCCGCTCCTCTTCTCAGCCATGGTCGTCATCTTTTGAATGGTTCGCATGACGGCTTCGACTGTCGGTACCCTTGCGGTTCCGCCAGCGGCAGAGACAGCTCCCTTTTCGGCAGCCCTAGCGGCGATCTTGGTCCTTAGTAGAACCAACGCCGCCTCGGCTTCTGCTAATTGCTTCGTGAACTGAGCGTATGCCCTGCGAAGCTCGGCCTGCTGCACGCTCTGCTCCCTGCTGAGCGGCTGCGCCTTGATAGTGGCGATTTGCTCAGGGTCCGTCTGGGTAGCGAAGAGCTTGCGCATATCCTCTTCCTTGGCACGCATGGTCCTCAGCTCCCGAGATATCTTATCCAGCGTCCCTTGTGTTTCCGCAACATCCTTGATACGACCCTCTTCCAACTCCTGAGTCAACTGGCCGTCGATGAGCCTAGTAAGCTCTGAAGCTTCCAGGAGTACCCAGTCCTCGGGGGTTTCGAGGTCTTCCTTTGTGCGGCCACCTTTCTTGGCGAACTGGGTATGACCATGAATAAATGACGCCAAAGAGCGCGAGTTGAGACCGAGACGGTCGGCCATGCGGTTGATATCCCGCCATAGCGTCTCGACTGCGGCGGGAACTTCGGAGGAGGGTTTGGATGAGGGGGAGCGATGGGTCTCAAGCTTGGAGTCGACGACGAGGAACTCGTTCATAGCGAGGGTAGGCTCGACATCGGCGGCAAGCAGTTGTTGGATACCTTCGTCTTCGGGGTCGACGAGCGCTTGAGCTTCGGCCTCCTTCTTGGCGGCGAACTTGCGCTGGGCAGCCACGTTGGGGTCGACTGGTGGAGGGCCCTTGGGGGTAGTGCTGGCGCCGAGGAGCTGGCTCTTGTTGAGGACGGGGGTGCTGGCAGTCCGGGGTCCCTCTTGTGGCCTGAGAAGGCTGGGCTGGGCGGGTTGTGTGCTGCGAACGGGGCTGGGAGAGTTGAAAGGTCCTGAGGGCTTGGAGAACAAGGGGGGCGCGTTCTTGTTGGCCTCGCCAAAGAGGGGACGGCTCTGTGGCTTTGCCTCGGAGTGAGATATCGTAGAGAATGTGCTCGCACCCATGTTGTTGGTGCTGCTGCCAAAGATGTTCCGGGATTGGTAGCGTGGGCTGCCGTTTTCGAAGTGGACGGAGGTCGTCGTCTGGTCGAGTTCCTTAGAGACATCGACACCGCTACCCTCACTGGCCGCCTCCGAGCGATCATCATCCTCATCACTGTGTTCCTCCTCTTCGTCTTCGTCGCTCCGTTCCTCGTCTTCCTCACTACCATGCTCCTCCTCATCCCCCTCTTCCTCATCCTCATAATCGTCCGAGTTCTCATCGTGCTCCTCTCCTTCCTCATCCTCAACTTCACCCTCCTCCAGATCGCTCTCCTCCTCCTCCTCCTCCTCCTTGTTCGGGCTCCAAGGAACATGAGGCAACTTGGGAAGATCCTGGGTCTTGCTCGTGAAATCGGGAGGCAGCGGTGCATCCTCTGCCTTCCTATCAGCAGGCTTAGGCTTGCTTGACAAGAAATCCGGCGGCAGAGGAGCATCGTCGCTCTTAACCTTGGGAGCTGTTTCTAGTGGGTCAGCTATTGAAGATGCCGATGATTCACCTGGAAGGAAGTCCGTCTTACTAGTAGTCTCGGGGGGTAGGGGTGCCTCCGGGATATTGGCGAGGTTCTCCTTGTCTTCTGCGTCTTCGTCCTTGATCTCGGGGGATTTGGCCGCCTTAAGAACATCCGCGAACGATTTCGGCTCCGTCTCCGACTTGAGGGGCGTAGCGAACGGGTTGGGCTTTGCCTCAGACTTAAGAGGCGCAGCAAACGGATTAGGCTTGGCCGCACCATCCTCAGTCTTCGGCTTTCCAAACAGATCGGTAATTGGCTTGGGCTTGGACTCCTCAGTCTTGGGCGCTCCAAACACATTGGACAGACCGCTGCCAGCGGGCTTGGGAGTACCAAAGATGTTGTTGGACGCAGGGGTACCGGCGGGTGTTGTGGACTCTACGTTGAAGATCGACTTGGGCTTCTCGGTAACCGGCGTAGGGGCCGCGCTCTCCATGGCCTCATCCTTGGTTTCCGAAGCGGCAGGCTCGTTCAGTGACAGACCGAATCCACTGCCAAACATAGAGCCACCCTTCTTCTCCGAAGTATCCTCGTTGTCGTTGGCAGTCTTGGGGTCAGCCTTGAAAGTAGTTCCAAGCACAAAGGGAGATGATCCAAAGGGAGAGCCTCCCGCGGGTTTAGCAGCAGGAGGAGGGAAAGCCGTCTCGGTATCCATAGAGACCTCAATGGTCTTGGATTCAGCGGGCTTTGACCCGAAGATGCTACCGCCGGAATTGTTACCGGCGAGCGCGGCGAATGGGGTGCCTTCCGACTTCCCCGCAAAACTAGTAAAGGGAGTAGGCTTATTCGCAAAACTGGCAAACCCACCGGATGATGAGGCAGCAGCACCGCTGCCAAAGACCTTACCTGAAGCTCCCGCGGATCCGGTGCCAGCAGCACCAGCGGCCCATGGAGACGCCTTGACACCCATGCCAATCATGGACGACTGGCCAAAAGCAGGAGCCGCCGTTGGGCCTCCAATCGCACTCGGGGCGCCGAAAGCGGGAGCAGCAGCAGCCGGAGCACTTCCAAAGCTGCTGGAGCCGAATGCCGGGGCCACTGCACCACCGCCGCCCCAGGGAGATGTCTTTGCCCCGAGAGATGGGGCAGCACCGAACGCCGAGGAGCCAAACGCCGGCGCAGCCGTAGTAGACGTGCCAAATGCAGATTGAGGTTGCGCTTGTTGAGCAGCCTGCGCAGGCTTGTTGCTATCCATGACAGCAAGACCAGGGTACGTCACGCCGCTACGGATAGATTCGTTATAGACCACCCACCAAGCCGAGAGGACACCGTCGTTATTTAGTACCCAAAGGCCGGGCAGGGGGCCGGGGGACTCGTTAATTTCGTCCGTGGGGATGGGCTTATATACCTTGTCTTTGGAAGACAAGTCCAGGGCAGTACCAACGGGGAAGGTTTCCGTCATATCCTCACTCATAGGGAGAAGGGCGCGCTTAGTGTCATCGGCGAATTCCGTTGTGGTAAAGGCATTCACGACCGGTTTGTCGCCAGCCAAAGGAGTCTTTGAGCGGGTGAGGAGGCCAGTGCTGTCAGTAGCAGTTGAGGACACCAGAAGAAGATCGGTAATGTTCGGAGGGAAGTCTTTCAACCGCAATACTGTATGGTGAGGAGGCTTTTCCGCCCCAAATGGCTCGACGGGGTCTGTCATCTTGTTGTAGGTAAAGGTGGCTTGCGCGTTAGGCTGCTGGTGGCGTGTGATAATATGGTATACAGACGGATCCTGGCCGCTTGTAGGGTTGTGAATTGCCAGGAACAGGTGGTTCTCGAGCCACGCCAGCGAAGACACATGGTAGTCTCCCAGACTAGGGGGCTTGGGAATATGCGCCTTCTCAGCACCGTCCGGAGTCATTTGAATGATGGAACCGTCCGCCATGCCGGCCACCAGCTGCTTTCCTCGGGTGCTCCATGATGCACAGCTAACCTGGGGCCGTAACGTTGGGCCGTTGGCTCCCGAAACAAGTTGACGCTCATTCAAGTTGGCCATGTATAGGTTGCCATTGGTGGTGATAACTGCACAGAAGTGGGCGAATTCGGGGGCCGGATTGGGTATCAGAGAACGAAGGGCTTCGCCGTTGGTGGTTATCTCAAAGGCGGATTGTGTGGTGCCGTTGCTAAGGGCATCGACATCGTAGACTGCCAGACCGCCACCCTCCTCGGCGGACAAGACAAGGTATTTCTCATTGGCAGTAAAGGCAAGCTGTGAGATGCGGAGAGGCATAGAGATGGTGGCCTGGGGCGTGAAGGGTCGGATGTCGCCCTCGGCTGGCTGTTCGGCCTCGAAGCCCTTTCGTACGGATTCGGTAGTGGAGATTATGAAGGCATCAGGACCAGCTGCTGCTACGAGGCCCTTGTGAGGAGCAATGCTGAGGAGGGATGCCGTCGGAGAGGGAGCAGGATTCCATTTCGAAGTCAGTTGGACTTTGGCCTCGCCATTGATGGCAAGGAAACCGAGGCCCTGGTGGGAAAACAGTGAGTTAGCAAAACACTAGGGAGGGAGGCGTCGCAAACATACCTCTGTCTGGATAACTTCGAGAGCAGGACCCTCTGTAGCTCCGCCAGCCGCGCCGGACTGGTTTCCAAAGGCAAACGCCATGGTAGCTAGAGGTGCCTCTACCACTGACTGATGTTGTTGTCTCGGTGTGTTATGCTGTTACGCCCTTAGAGGAGGAGCTTTGGATTTATATCACCGAAAGTTGGATGGCATTGGGCCAAGGGCCTGGTGTATATGAAGGGGAACCGCGGATGCGTGAGGCCCGAGCCGAATTTTGGTGATGAGGGTGGAGATGGAGTCGTAGTGACGAATGCGCGGCGGGGAAAAGAAGCGCGTCGGCCGATGCGACTGTGGACGGCGGCGCTTGACTTTCAAGATGAAAGACGGTGACGCGGTAAATATCGTCGGTCGCAGGTATACTCTATACTCCTAGTACTACAAAGGTACCTCGAGTGTTGATGCGTCGGAGTGGATTGGGTGGTGTTTTGTTTGGATCAAAATATGGAGAGAGCCGACTTCGATGGTGGTCGGTGGTCTGTTGACTTTTGAGAACAGACCAGCTCGGGTATGGTGGCTGATAATCGCCGTGTGGGATTGTGGTGGGCGATAAAAAGATGAAAGGAAAGATAATTGGCGACAAACAAAAATCCCTCCACAACAAAAATGGATTGGTGATGTGTGGTGGTGGTGATGGTGGTGGTGGTGGTAGTGGTCTCCTCCAAATCGCAGCTCCGTCGATGCAGTGGTTCCTCTGCTGAATCCTCAGTTGGAGACCTGACTGACGCAGTGGACGACGCCGGACTGGACAAGAACCGAAGAAGACGCGACCCACGATTTTTCTGGGAGAGGCCGTCTTTGCCTGCCGTGTGCCCGGGGCGTGTTCTGGTGAGCTAAGCATTGCCCAACCCCTGCAGTAACAACACTGGAGGTATGTCAATCTAGCCTGATCCGGTTAGACAGAATCACGTGTGTGGGGAGCTTGGGCCCGTCATCACAGATAACCCTGAGCTCTGTTTACCACTAACCCTTAGCAGCCCTGTCTAGCGCCCAGCTTGCTCTTGCTCGGCCGGCAGCAAGCTCTCAGTGGAACAGGACGGGAGTGGGCAGCTACAGCGGGGGAGGACCTGGAGGCGGGCAACCTGGAAGCCAGCAAGCAACCAAGCAACAACCGCCTGGAGAAGGCAGCTTCTAGCCTCGTCATCAGCTATCAACTGTCCATCAGCAACGAACCGACATCAACTTGTCCCATTCACTTTCCGTCATCCATCAACCTCAACACCCGATTAACGACGACCTTGCGGCAAACAGATCCGCCTCTACAAACAAGTTGACGACGACGATTTCACGATACCCTCACGATTATACTACAAATAGCCAACACCACCACCAACTAATACCCAAGCCGAAACCATGCCCGGCTTCGACTTCTCCAACTACAACCGCAATGCGGCGCTACACGCCCGCGGCGTCCCTCTGCCCAAGGCCACCAGCACAGGAACAACCATTGTGGGATGCATTTTCGACGGTGGTGTAGTGGTGAGTACATCCTCTTTCTATTGCTGATTTCCTGCCTCGAGCTATCATCCATCTTCCCCCCTCCTCTCCTACCTTGACGTCTTCGTTCCGTCTACCACCCCACCATTTCCCATTACCCCCAAGCCAACATCCAACTAACATCCTGTCGCCTGCCAGATCGCAGCCGATACCCGCGCCACCTCCGGTCCCATCGTCGCCGACAAGAACTGCGAAAAGCTCCACTTCATCTCCCCCAACATCTGGTGCGCCGGTGCCGGCACCGCCGCCGACACGGAATTCACCACGGCCCTGATCTCCTCGCAGCTCGAGCTGCACTCGCTGTCCACAGGCCGCAAGCCGCGCGTCGTAACCTGCATGACGCTTCTCAAGCAGCACCTCTTCCGCTACCAGGGGCACATCGGCGCCTACCTGGTGGTCGCGGGCGTCGACCCCACCGGCACCCATCTGTTTACTGTCCACGCCCACGGCTCCACCGACAAGCTGCCCTACGTGACCATGGGCTCCGGTTCGCTGGCGGCCATGTCCGTCTTCGAGACGCAGTGGAAGCCGCAGCTGACTAAGGAGGAGGCCATGAAGCTGTGCAGCCAGGCCATCGAGGCCGGTATCTGGAACGATTTGGGTTCGGGCAGTAATGTCGATTTGGCGGTTATTACGGCGGAGAAGACCACGTTGCACAGAGGCTTCGTCAAGCCGAACGAGAGGACCCAGAAGCTCAAGAGCTACGTGTTTAGGAGGGGCACGACGGCGGTGCTTAATGAGAAGGTCATTAAGAAGGAGGAGATTGGGAATTATGTCAGTGTGGAGGAGCTGGCGGAGGAGGTGCCGAGTGGTGACAAGATGGAGGTTGATACATAGAGGGTTGATGCCGTGTGGTATGGAGATTTCTATGCCGGAGCGGTTCGATTTCTGACTAGGACAGTCAAGACAGATGAGATCAGCGATTTTGAGCTCGAGCCATGATCTGGACGACGGGTTCTGAAATGGCAGTTCTACTCGATCATGAGAGCTAGAGAGAAAGTGTTGATAGCCCCCAAAGATGGGTAAAGAGATAATGACAAAACTTGAACATATTCCTCCCTCTCCTCTTCCAAGTCTGAGTCGCGTGATGACGGACGGCCAGGATTATATCACGTCTCATAATTCAATTCATCTCGGCAAGGAAAGACTAGACTAGGTTGGACTGTGCCAGCTGGATCACAAAGTAAGCAAAGAAAGCAGCAGGCAGGTCCACGATATATATAGTCTTCAACAACCCGTTCCGGTGGTGGTGGAAACCTCCTTAGCTCTGCTCAACACATTTATATCTTATGCATGTAGGCTTAGATGATACAGGTTTTAGCCCTCTGCCTGCCACAATCATCGTCCCTCAGCCTTCATAAATCCCCAAACATCCCGTCCCGTAAGCGGAGCAGAGCAGATCAAGACCGGAGCCATCATCGGAGAGAAGAGATTCCTGTCTGTCTGGGCAGTGTATAGTAGACCTACTAGCCCCATTCCGTCTCCGACTGATGTATAGACAAATAAAAATGTTCATACGGATAATTTCACACACACATGTAAACAAAACAATAATCACTGCAGCTTCTAGGTAGATGTAAAATATTTGCTTTCTGTCTTCAAATGCTTTGAAATACTTCAAATGTTTCCATTCTTCTTCTGCTCTCCTCAGCTTCATCCCCTCTACTTGGTATATGGTATATGTCTGACCTGATCTGATCGTGTTTGTACTTTCTCTTCCTCCCTCTTCCTTCTGCCCTTTCTTCTTGCCTCCTCTCTCTCCTGGTATCTCTACTATCGCTCCTCTCAAGGGCTGTGCTAGCTCGCTAGGTATAAATCAATGCCACTTGCTTCCAAAAATGTGTTCCAAAAATCGGGCGATCTTCTTGCGCCATATGCCACCTTTCTCCTATCATCGGAGTAGGAAGGTTAATGAAGATACGCAGGACATTCTTTGTTGAATATCTCTGTCTAAATGGGTATGGGGCAGTCGGCATCTTGCCTACTGCTCGCAACCGAATCTCTACGGCACCTTTGCTCCTTATGCTCGCTTGCCCCTCCCTAGCTGAAGCGGGAAAACGTAGATGGTAAGAAATGAAACTTTTTGCAAAACCCACTCCCCTACGACCCACCACCGGAAAATGATATGAAGAAAGAAGAATGAACATAGAAGAAAAGAGAAACGGAAAAGGGAAAAGCGAAGGTATGGAACACGAAAGGGAAAACAAACGAGAAAAAAAGACCAAACGGGAGAAAAGCAAAAATAGCGAATGTTGCTCATAACGTACAAGAGTAGAATCTCAGAAATATGTAAAATGTAAATGCGCATGAGAAACCGGATCCTCCCACTTGGAAAAGGCGATGGAAGGACCCAGAACAACAACATCAACGCCCCGTAGCCATGCCATGCAACCCATTCAGCGCCTTGTAACTCCTTTTTCCGAAGGGACTCTCAAAACGAATGGGAATTTTGTATGTTGTATAGATGGGGATATGTATAAAGTGGTGGTATTTTGAACTTGGTTGGGTATTTGGGATGGGTATTTGGTGTGGTTATTTTTGTGTCAGATTGGGATGGATATAGATGGAATGGTCGTTATCATCAGTTGAAAGTTGAAAGAGTTCCGCAAATTGAGTGTTCTAAGTCGAAGAATGCCCTACCGGGCCAAGGTGGCGAAGAGAACCTAAACAAAAAGGTGCCGGATATATGGTTGAAGATGGTAGCTGGAAACCGTCGTGCTCTTAGATCGCTCAGGAATGAGTGCTCGACTTCCTCCCGAACAGCCCTTTCCTGGTAGACTTGGATTTGGTACGGGAGTGTTTCGAGTCCTTTCCGTCTTTCGGATCATCAGCGTATTTCGGTTTGTGAATCCTATTCACACGTCGTTAGTTTCAATATCTCCCCCATATCACGGACTAATAGGCAAAAGCGACTTACCAGCTATTCCCAACCATACTCATCCCCTTCGCCTCTGCTTCCCGGTAATACTTGGCACTCTTCTTCAGATTCTTCTTGCACCCAATGCCCTGAGCATAGCAGAACCCAGCTTCCGCTAGAGCATCGACATCTCCCCATGCTATATCGTTGCCTTGTCAGCAAATCCACCCTTTTTTCCGAAATTGTCACACAACAGGCACCAAACTTACATCCAGCGATTTCAAAACACCTCAACGCCAAAACCTTGTCCTGCTCAATTCCCCACCCATTCATATGAGACACTCCGAGCTCATAAAGCGCCAACGCAAACTGCGCCTTCCTCGCTTTATGCTCCACCTTGTCCACTGACTTTCCTTCCTTCGTCTTGTCGTCATCCTGCTGCAATTCCAGATTGACATTCGTCGCGGCTTTTCGTAGCCATTCTACTCCTTCGCGCTGGTTTGGTCTCATACCCCAACCGTGTCGACAAGCGAGGGCGTAAAGTAGCATGCCTGTAGGATGGGCCTGCTTTGCTGCGTGACGAAGATGCCATGTGGATTCTTGCAGGGCACCCTTCTCGTGTAGGGCAACGGCTTTCGTGACGTGCTCTTCCGCAGTCATTTCAGCCATGGTGTGCGCCGTAGATTGGCCGAGGGAGCGGGTGGCTTTGAGGGTGGCCGCTGTGTCGTTAGTAGCAGCAATTGAGGGTGCTGCTGTCACCGTTGGAGTGGTCATCTGGTTCTGATTGCTATCGGGCGTTGGGGACGTTGATGGTCGGGCTCGCTCGAGGGCGCTGTCTGTTGAGAGGCGACCAATGGCTTCTGGTGACGGTTGCCGTGTTGAGGCTGACCTGGGAACCTCGAGGCTTACCTTGCTGCGCTCGGATGGTATTTGCCTGAGGCGATCTTCGGATACACGAGGTCCTACTGAGCTCGATGGCGATGGAGGAGGCTGTCCAGACACGGGAGAACGGGGGTGAAGCTCGTTCGGGCTCGGCATCGGAGGCTGCTCGTTGGTAGTAACCTGCCTAAGGGGAGTACCAACTTCGGGCCTCTCATCTTCCGCCCGTCGAACCGACTTTCCGCGTGGCAGAGTGAACTGCACATTGTGGAAAGAGTGGTTACCGTCAGGGTCCGGGAAACCATCGCCGTTCATGCTAACCGGGGTGTGCGCCTCGTTATCGACCAGAACAAACGAGGCATGGCTGTCGGAAGACGGCTGGCGAGCTGGGAATTCGAAGGATGGAGTTTCGGCCCTGCTCATGGGTCTGGAAAAGTTAAAAGATGGCCTTGGTAATACGGACATGTCGGATGCGATGGAAGGAGACCTTTGACTGTGGCCCAGAGGAGACCGGATGCTGCTGCTGGTAGACATCTTGCGGGAGCCTTGAGAAACCCCTGAGTGCTGAGAGTGGAACGATGTTCCCAACGAGCCAAGTCCATCCTCGTCGGTCGATTCCAGGGTCGAAGACATGATGCTCGAAGATCGTTTGGGAAACAGAGGACGAGGAGGCAGAAGACCACCGTGCTCAAACGAGCCCTGCTTCTGAATGTGCTCCGGGGAAGTCATGGCCCGGGTCAGAGTCGGTACCGGTGGTGGTGAGCGCGCCATGCTCTCTCGTGTTCCCATGGCCGAGGCGGATCGTCGCTCAGCCTCGGGGCTGCGGTCGAGGGGTTGTGGCGACTCCTCCCTACGGGCGCCTATTCCGAGAAAGATCTCTCCTTCTACGCTTTCGTTCGAGAACTGCCTGTTCAAGGCGTCGAAGTTCGGTCGAGCGGGCATCGGAACGGACAACTCGATAGGGGTAGGCGGGATGCGGCTCATGCGCGGGTGCATCGACTTTGGTCGGTTATCCACGTCCTCGTCCACCTCGTGTCTCAGGCCCAGGCCGACGTTGTGCTGCGGTGTGTAAGCCTCATCGCTTCCAGAATCTTGGGACAGGGAGCGGAAATATTCGGAGCGGCCTTGTACAATTAACGGGCTATCGGTGGTCAGAGGCGGCAAACGGCTCATGCGCCGGCCCTGCCTTGCGCTCTCTTCAAGTTGTTTGGCAAGCAGCCGGCTCTGCATGGCGAAAGCATCCAGAGGCGAGAGCTCCGGGGGCGCCTCTCCGGCGATATGCATTCGAGGGGATCTCAGTGGTCTCGAGACGGACATTGCAGACTTTGACCGTATGTCAAGCTGCTCTGGGCGGCGTGGTGTGGACGACATGATGGATGCCGTGTCGGTCGCTGGAGAACCCATTGGTTTGTTTGTCTCGTGAGGAGTCGAGAACGCCGACGGGAAGTTTCCTAGGTCGACGGATTTGAATTCCGGGTATAAACGTCAGGTTCTGGCGAGTCGGCCAAGAGGCCGCAACGTCACAACGAGAGTTGAAAGTGTATGGCTCCGAACTATAGACGGCGCATCAAGTATGAGGTCGAATCCAAGCGAAAGACAGGTAGCGAGCGTGTGATGTTGGGGTCTGCGGATAGACCGTAGTGTTCAACGAGCGTCGTTGTTTGCCGTCGTCGAGTCGGAACCGATGACAGACAGACAGACAGACAAGAGCCGGTGGGTATCCCGATGGTATTGCAGATGCAGGGACTTATGGATCCGTATTCCCCCCTAAGGCGATCTCGTCGAATCGTTCGTCTGGTTCGAGAATGGAGGGGTCGCAAGCGAGTGTCGGATGGTGTGCGTCAAAGCAGGTTTTCCGATGTTGGAGAAGGGCGCATTCGAGCGGTCGGCCTGACACGGGGTAGGTGGCTTTTGCTGTCGTGCTTGGTGAGGGAGGTCGACGATGACGGGGATGGCAGCGAATCAGTCCTAGCAGTGACCCATGGGGTGTGGTGGACTGGAGTCTGAGGGGGGGAGTCTGGTGGACGGAGAGTCGCAGCGATCGACAACGAGTGACTACAATTTAATTCGAACGGGGGTTTGTGTCGAGGATGATAGTCGAGGGTGAAGGGTGGTCGAGGAATTGCGATTCGGCTCGGGATTGACTCGCTCGTTTCTCTCGTTCGGCTCTCGACTGGGAAGCGAATGGATACCGTCCTGATTCTTCTCCTAGTTTGTAGAGAAGAGGGGACCTCGAGGGGTGGTGGTCGTGGTAGGTCTAGGGTAGTACCTCTAGGGATGAAAAGAATAAACAAGACACAACGACAGGGACACTACACTACTACTCGGAAGAGGAGAAGGGGAAAATAGTATGGTAAGGTAGGAATCAAACAGGGGGAAACCAGTTGTTTTTGCCCGAGGAGAGGAAACAATTCAAGACATGGAGACTGGACTGGAGAGAGTCAAAAGTGACAAAGTGGACATGGGCGAGTAGAAAGTGGAATTGGGGAATCTCAAAGTCCCATTTGCTTTGCACGATGTCATCCCAACTCTTTTGACGCAGGAAACCCCAGGGGCAGAACGTCCGGGAACTGTGGTGGGCAGAGGGACGAACGGGTCCCTGAGGAAATGGAAACGGTCTGTTAGGCCACAAGCGGGCCCCCACCAACGAGACCAGTTGGGGCGCTTTCATCCACTAACATCACTGTAACCTCTGAGCGACGGGACCTGGACCCTCTGATCGAATGCACACCCTCAGCACGCTAGCGTCCTCGCCGTTGAGTGGTTCATCCGGGGATATTAAGTGGGCCAGGGTGGGCGGGCGAATATTGCGGCTAAGCTGTTCATGGTAAGATCTCTGTAATTGTGTTCCAAAAATGAAGTGGCGCTAGATTGGAAGAGGGATAGCTTCGTGGATGGGGCGTTCCTGAAAGCATTCGAGATTGTGGAAGAGCGATGTACGTCTAGCAAGACACACAGGAAGCATCCCACTGCCTTGAAAGAAAGAAGAAACGGTTCAAGGCAAGTCATCGTGATGTGCTTCTTTCCTGCTGCTGTTGTCATTCGCTCTTCCTTGCATTTGATGATAGCTGGTTGACAGGCACATAAATTCTCTCTCTTTGTCCGCCCCATTCTCATGTTCTCAACGTCTTCCTCATATCGTCTCGGGACTCAAGGACCTCACTAAGATCTCCAGAGAACGTCGAGCATCTGCATGTCGAAACCAGCAACATCCACTGGATTAAACCCCATCTCTCCAAGATCTGCAATTGCATCACCGGTCCCCCCCTTTTCTTTGCTTTTCTCCAGGTTCCGTTGTCCTTTCCATTTCTATTTTACATCATATGCCAGTAACATCACTCTTCTCCCTCAAATGCATTTCGAAATAGGGGCCCCATATTTCAACACTATGGCAGTAAGCCACCATGTCAGGTACCGACCACTGGACACCGAGAACGGCACAACGGCCCTCATCACGAATATGTGACACAACAAGACCGCATACACGCAGAGAGATTCAATGCCGTACCGTCCAGCAACTCCATTGGATATTCTTTCTCTAAAAGCGGTGCAACATGACCTCAAACCCCCTCAACCCTTCTCTCGCATGGTGCCAAGCAACTCTAGATGTGGTCCATCTCTCCTAAACCGCCCCCCTGGTCTCCCCATCTGGCATCTCGACCAGGGGCATTGCCTGCGGCTTATAAGAGGAACAGAACCCCTATGGTTGATAAAAAAATGGAGGTCATTGGGTGGGCGCGCCCCCGGAAATTGTTTTGCTGGTCAGGTGCCCATCTCTCCTGCATGAAGCATTTTCCAGCAGTTGGTCTCCCTCGGTAAATATTTGTTGAAAAAGGGCAATGCTTCACATGGCTTCTTGTCGTTTCTTTGTCGTCACGGTAACAACAACTGAACATCGAGAGAGGCGAGTCACGGTGCCGTCCAGTGGTTTCTCGAACATGATAACCTTCCAGAAAGTTTTCTGGTTATTAGCGCTTACCGATCGCCAAAAGTCAAGTTCCCTTTTGCCCGGCCAAATCTCTTTTTCTTCGTCAAAAGTCAGGGCCAACCGTTCGTTAACGACGGTCCCGCTCGGGATGATACACGATCGGATATGTTCCCAGATCCATCAATCAATCTTTAACTATCCACCAAACTTTCAACAACGAAACACTCGACAAGAAAAGAAAAGAAACGAACTGCGGTATAAAAAAAATTCAAGGTAGCACATGGCAATGTGTTTGCTGCCTCGTGGCACATGGCACAGGGATAGAACCCTTCAACGTTTAACAACTCAATCTCATGTGGATGTCGTGACCCCATAGGTACAGTAGCTGCACGCACCACTGATGATGAAGACTGGAAATGAGGTTGGACCCCTTCCCGTACCTTACCGGTAGAGATGGGACATGGTTGGAGGATCTTGGTTGATGAGCTCTCACAGGGATGAGGTTTATAAGTAGGGTCGGTAGGGGAAATGAAGCACACCTTTGACCAGAGATGAACAACCCACCAATAGCGGGTCGTCAACTCTTATAAGATTTATTAGAATCTTGGCCTTCCCGTTTCATCATCTTCATTCAGTCTCCTTCGTTCTTCGTTCTTGTCAAACGTCTCTCAAGAATGACGCTGACGATGTCGTGATCAACACAAGCATAGCCAACCGCTGCCGCTTCCGAGAGCAAACACGGGTTTTACCGTTGACGCCATCCATCAGACATCAAAGAAGACTAGGTAGGTACCACCGCTGGCGATGAAGACGAAAGAAAGAACACACACGCAAGGGAACTTACACAACGACAACGACAAAGACAAAGAAAACGGACAGTGAGAGAAAAACATGACAGGGGTTCTCCACGATGTCCGTCGAACGGACGGACCTGCATCCATTCGCTGCTACTGCTGCAGCAGCAGCTGCAATGCGCAGCGTCATTTTGCGATGGCAGCGATGCGAGTGTGAAACGAGATGAACTGCTTGACTTGACACTTTGGTATAAATGGCAGTTTTTGTATGGCATGGCGCTAAACTGCTTTGGGATATAAGATTTTCTCTTCGTTTTCTTTTCTGTCTTTGTTTTGTTTCTCTTTCCCTCGCAGGTGCACTGCGACAAGAAATCATCAGTGAATTTTACTTATACGACAGTTCCATTTATTACCGTCGAGTTCGTCAACTCGGTGTCAATATTATCACTTGGGCACCTGCGTATCCATGGTGTTCGACCCTGCCGTCATCAATACTACAACTCCCAAACCCCGAGAAAGGGACTTGTGGAAGTTGTGTTGTCTAGACCACCATGACTCCATCACCGTCGCAACGACGGCCGATTCCCCGATCCCTTTTAGAACTAGATCTCAGCTCGAAATCTAGACCGAAATCTTTTGGGCTTAAAGTCTCCGAGTCTTTCCCGGGTAGAAACCGAGCGACAAACTCATTCATGTTCCAAATGCGGGACGGAGATAGGTCGAGTTTGTGATTTGCTTTCTTTTCCACTGTCAATGACAGCACGCAGCTGTCACTAGATTTTTGCTGTTTGCTGGTGCTATATCTCGAACTTGCCTCACCCAAATTGGTAACAAGTCTACAATTGACAGCAGAAATGTCGATATTGAACACAACACTGCAATTCCCATCACTGTCAATGCCCATCCAATACAGCTATGACCGGAAAATCCCATATTTCAAACCCTCCCGGAGAAATACGGAAGGCAAAGTCACCAACAAAATAAAACAATGACTTCGTCGCAAAGCCGCAAAGTAACACCTACGCACCTACCGAAACCAGAACCCTCTTCATGATTTGCCATGTTCACCTACGATGACGATGTCTGAGGCCACACAGCACACACTGAACCATTGTAACAGCCGCTGATTCCCGATTTCTACACTACATACTTCTAAAGACAGGTAAGACAGTTCCACAAGCATGAGCACAAGGCGAACAAACATGCCAGAGACACTACCAACAACATACGAATTCGTATGACTGAAAGATCTGAAAAGAGTAAGATGTGGCCAACACCGGGCCTCGAAGGGATTGAACGGCCTTCTACAGGCCAACAACCCTCACACTCACATCCATCCAGACGATTGAACCAACTCAACCAACTCAACCAACAATTCAAACCAACACGATCAGACCATGGCGAATTATTTCTTGCTGAGCTTGCCTGCTTGCTGAACTCGCTGAGCCCGCCTGCTTGCACAGCCCTGTAAAATGTGGAGTGATGTTTTCGACTCCTTCTTTCTTGCCCAAACACCAACTCTCCAAGACAACAAAATCCGAAACTCGGACCCAAGGCTACGGCCGGGCCAACAGTCGGGGCTGAGCTTGCATCTCATCCTTCCAACCCTTCCTAAGCCCCTGAGTGGCCTGTTCTGGACCGGACCGGATCCCCCGGTTTAGTCGAGTTTCTTCTGGCCCGACCTTACCGACCGTTTCGACCCCATCCGGCCCCGACCGGGAAGCCGGGGAGCCGAGGATCCACATCGGCGCTTCATTGGAGTGTACACCGTCCGAGGCCCCGGGGCGCCGGTAAGCCGGGGTTCGAGCCGGACTTTGAGCTGGGGCTTGAGCCAGGGTTCGTCTGGAGTCCTGGGTTTGGTTTTAAGGGGGTATTTTTTAAACTTTTGAAACTGTCCGGCATTTTCATCTTCGATCTTCGACGGAGGGAAATAGAAGGTAGCATATCAAGGAAGATGTACTTCCAGTGCTGAAATGGATCAAGTGAAGTCCAGTCCTGTTCCCGCTGATGATGCGATTGACCATTTTGAACGTCGAACCGTGGAAGCATGGCTCCATAGCTCCCCAGAAAATTTTGGTGCACACGAAGAAGAGCACGACCTCGAAGCTAGGAATTCAACATGAAGAAGCATGTTGCTCGCTAGCTGTTAACGTCAACTTGACTTCGACTGTGTGTATGTATGTACCTAGACTGTAGACTGTAGTAAACTTCGAAGAAAAGAAACACTCGGACAACTCCGCCTCTGTAAACACACCCTCTCAGTTCAGTTCTATACCTGCCTGTCTCCTTTTTCACCCCCTTCAACTAGACGTCCAAGTCTAGTTATCCTTACTCCTCAGCTTCTTCAACCTCACAGTACCCTCAAAAAGCCCCCTATCCACCGCCGCCGCAACAGTCAAGGTACCGCCCACGACGGCGCAAAGGCCGGCAAGGAAACCGATGAAGGACTTGGCGCGTTCTTCGCGGTTGACGACTTTCATGGGGGAGATGTCCTATTTTTTTTTCAATCTCGTTAGCACCATCACTTTTCGCTTTAACTTCCACCCAGACCGACACCACCCAGGGAAAAGGGAAGAGGTAAAAGGGAAAAGGGTAAAAAGTAACGGGAAAGGGAAAAAGGAAAACTCACATAAGAAAAGAACACCCCCGGAATGCCACCCCTACTATGGAGTCTCTCACCATGTCCCTCCTTGGCATCATCCCCTCCGGCCAGACTTCTCTTATGGCTCGTAACGCTATACTGATGCGTCTCCATGCTTCCATCGCTTCCCTGGCCGAACACACCTAACCCGACACTATGATCCTGATCCCAGCTAGCCTTATTCTGCGCCGCCTGCTTCTCCCACCCCAGCGGCAGATAACTCGTCGGCACGATCTTGACAAAGTACATAAAGTTATAATTGGGATCATCCGTCTCCTGCCTGGTATTATCCAATGGATTCAAATGGTGGTTCGTCCACAGGGTATTCCTCTTCCCATCCTTCCCCCCGCCTAGCTTGCGAACAAGATCATCAGGTAACTGCGGTCCAAACCGCAGACTATGAATCTCATGCGAGAAGCTATGCCCCCCGGAACAGGCGAATTCCACCACTGCGCGAGGTCGTGCACGTGCATGTTCCCGTTGCTAAAGGACCGCCCGGGAGCAATGTGGAAGTTGCCGATAACTTTATTGACGCGCAGCCCGCCCTCGATGCGACACCCCTCATGCCGCTGCTCGGCGAGACGTTCCGTGTAGTGCTCGCGTTGACATTGTTCCATGGTGGAGCCGTCGCCGAAGGCCCAGGAGGCTTGCGCGTAGGCTTCGCGGATCTCTTCGCAGGTCGAGCAGCAGCCGGCTTTTTTGGCGTTGTAGGGAGCTGGAGCGCCGTAGCAGGGGCCACAGTAGGAGGGGTCGAGGTGGGTGGCGGATTCGTCAGCTGCGTGGCTTTGGGAGGGATGGGGTGTTAGTGGTTGTGACTTGGGGTGTTGGTGATGTTTGATGGAGATAATGGAGGGGGAAGACGGGAAGAACATACAGAGCAAGAACCTTGGCGTCAATCTCTCCTCCTCCTTCGCTTTGAGGTCTGAGTCTGATCTTCTTGACGCCGTGCTGTACGCCATGTTGTTGTTCGCCGGAGACATCCATTACGTCGAGGGTCAAGAGTTCGCAGGGTACTTTGGGGAAGGTGATGTTGAGATGGATTTCCATTCGTTCGCCTGTTGTTGTTGTGATAGTAGTCCGGCATGGTCAGCTTGTGTTTCTTCCTGTCTGTCTGTCTGTCCATCTCTCTTCATGTTTATGAGTTGTCGATGTTGAAAATGCGCATACCTCGTCCCTTATCAACCACCAACTCGGGGTGTATTACCACCTTCCTGTAATCTCTCCATTCTCCCCACGAGAGGAACAGAACCACAAGCAGCGAGACGATGGTGACGATGCCACCGGATGTTGTCCTGATCCTCGCATCTTCGACAGTTTTTGTGAAAGCGTCGAGCTTGGTGAATCTCGATTTCCCGGCCATCTTGGGGTCGTCAGGTCGTCGGTGGTGCCTCTATGGGCTAACGGACGGACGGACGGACGGATGGACGGACAGGTTCGGTGGGAATTGGCTGACGGCGATGACCAATCTTTTGTATCGATCTGTCCTGGATCTCGGTAGTATAGTCGTAAGTCGACAGGTGTACAATTGTTGTGTAATGAAACAAGTACCCCTAGGTAGGATTGGGAAAGCCAAGGGAACAAGGGACTGGAACGAGGGAATGTTCCAAAGGTAGGTTCCACGTGGTTCAAGGTGGAGGGCGGGGGTTCGGTTCGTCTTCCCTTGCTTCCAGTTTGTTGTTGGTTCGTTCCTGTAAAAGGAAGCTTGCGCGTCACCAACGGCGGGAACGGGGAACGGAAGTGGAAGTGGAAGTGGAAGCTGTCTGTCGCTCGGTGGAATTGACAAAGCTCCCGAACGACTCTCAGTCTCAGCTGCAGCCTTGTACTGTAGCTCCCGGCGTCGGGCGGGACGGGATGATCTTCAAAGAACTCCCAAATCTGAATTCCAGAAAGGAGGGGCAGCAATCAATACAATCAAATCAAACAAACGAACAAGCACTTCTTCTTCTTCTCGTAGACACTTTCGCTACTTCATCGCCATCATTTACGTAGTCAATCAGTTATTCAGGAACAAGAGACATCTCCCGCTCGTCAACTGCAACCGAAACGATGCGATAACAAAGTTGAGGCCACCTTACACGCTGATTCCCTTCTCGGATTGGTCAAGAGGACCCCTTAGAGGATCCGCCGCGTAGCATTGGCCCGGCGGGCATTGAACCAGCGGCCACCCATGATCCTAGGGCTGGACTTTACTTGGCGCTGCCAGGGGAAATTCCCGTCATGTCTTGCATGAACCCTTCCTTTTCTCTTTCTCGAACTGCTTGAACCATTGGCCTTTTCTTTTTTCCAGGAATGGAATGGTGATAAAAACATTGAAATAGTGTCCACTTCTGACTCCTGCTTTGTTGCTGGGACAACCATTTGTGAAGCCAGTTCCAGTATCTCAGCTGTTTATGGACAAGCTCTTGGACGATCAACATATCGGGACTAATGATTCCTTTGTCAACAGCATCGAACTATCACCATCAATAAAAGAGGTCGAAAACAGCCTGGGTTCAAATCCTTTGAGAGGAGTGGATTCGTTGAACACTGTTAACTAACTTGAAGAAATCCACAACTATCAACTTGCACAGATCTATCTGCAGCTTGACACTAAATCATCAAAAGAAATCGAGACAGAAAGCAAGGAAATTCCCAAACATCATCAGCTCATTCATCATGACCATCCAACTTCACACAGGTAGGTAACTTAATCTGCCCCATCCCCAAATCCCCATTCCCACCCTCTCAAACACGCGCTCCCACTTCATCCCCAACGGTTGTTCGGATACTTCTCCCCCGACATCGTATGATATTCGTCGCAATACTTGCACTGGAACCACTCCTCCTTTTCCTCCTTCGCTTCATCGCTCTTCCTCACATCCTTCCAAGCCACATTGCCATTTACATAGTAACTCTTCCTCGGCGTCTGCTTCTCTCCCTGTCCCCTCCTCCACTTTCCAAACCGGACACCATCACCCCATGTGCGACGGTCGGGCTTGGAAGCGAAGGGGGTCTCGTCGTCCGCGAACCGCTTCACATCATCCTCCTCCTCCTCTTCATTCTCGGGGGCAAGTTGGTACTTGTACTTGGATCCCATCTTCATTTCGCCCAGACGCTTGGCTACGTCGTTGGCTTCGGGAAGGGAGACGAGCGTGCGCTTCTCTTTCAACTTGTTGGCGGCCATGATGTGTGCGTTGAGACGGCCTTCGGTTTCCGTCGTGAGCTTGCGGCGTTTGGAAGGGGATTGGCCCCGGGCATGCCCTGGCGTTTCGCCTTCAGTGTGAGGGGAAGGGGAACAAGATGGCGGAAGAGTGCTGGATAGTTTGGCCAGATACTCCTGGCACAAAGCCCACATTCGGGTATTCTGGTCGTTCTTATGATGCCAGTGCTCGCGGCTCCGCGTCTCTTGGTCAGATTTCACGAGGGCGATGAACGCCTTAGGCTTCGCTGCCATCAAGTTGCGGTAGCCATCATTCCCATATCCGTATGTTCGATAGTGCCTCTGATGTCCGTCGTCTGACGTTACTCGGCTGGAAATGAGCTCGTCGTGGACCACTTCGACCGGGGTCCTGCCCACGGCGTTCTCACGGAAGAGCAGGCTGGGCTGGAAGTCCAGCACGGCTCGGATTATCTTGGAGCTGTGGTGGCTGGCTTTGAGCATGTCATGCAGAGGGGTGTCGCCGGAAGCGTTGAGCAAGTTGAGTGCCGTGGTCACCGCCTCAGATGACATCTCAGCGAGGAGGTTAAAGACGGCGATGGACTTGTCATAGTCTTCGTTCCTTCCGATGTCATTGAGCCATTGGTGGAGTGGGGTGCGGCCATCACTGGCCAGGCTGGAACGCTCAGCGATCATCCGGATGATGGCCTCGCGGTCGAAGAGGCTTAGTAGTTCCTTGAACTTGTCAGCCGGTGGCGAATGGTGCAATGCGGCGTGCAGAATATTCTTCCACGAGCTAGTCTTGACGTTCGGGTCTGCGCCGGCTTCCAGCAAGAGCTTGACGAGTTCAATACGACCCATGTAAATGGCCTGTATCAGTGGCGTCACGTTGTCGTGCGACTTGGCCTCCAAAGCATCGGGACAAGCTTTGATGAGATACGAGACCAGATCACTAACGTCAACTCCGCCAGAGTTGGTGATGACGGCATGAATGACCAACTCGCCTGTTTGCTTGTTAGCTTCTTTCTCGATATTGTTGATGTTGACGGGAAACTCACCTTGGTCATCAAGCCACCTAGCAATCGCACCCTCCAAGCCCCCGGGGGCTCGTCCCAAGTGCTGCATCCTCGGGTCTTCCTGAGCACCCTTGGACTTGGCGAACTCAAGGTAATGTCTCAACGGAGCATCGCTCAGGAACCACTGGATGCTCTCAATGCAGCGGTTTTCTGCAGCTCTCAGCAGAGGAGACGTTGTGGAATTCTCGTCGCGAGGTTGTTGAGCCACTTCCCGGCCGGCATTCGCCCAATCTTTTCTCTTCTTTCCATAAACCGACAGGCCCTGGTAGTAACGCGGCTGCTCCTTAAGCTCGACACCGGATCCTTCCACCAGGTGCTCCAACGGCAAGCCCGCACCAGTACGTCTAATCAGCTCAGTCATGATCTCGATGCGTCCCTTGCCAATGGCGCTGGCAAAGACAGCATCTGGCACCGAGAAGAACTTGGGAGGCTCCGTGGCCGGGTCAAGCTGCAGGGATCCAAAGTGCTCGCCCATATCGAGCACGAACTTCAGGAGCTTCAAGTCGTTGCTTTCGACGGCATGCGTCAGCGGATCCCACGTGTCCTCGCCGTTGACCAGAATCTGGCGATTTCCCCATCTGCCGCCGTTCCAATTGCTGGTGGCCGTCCTGCCCTTGAGCAGATTCACCGGTAACGTGTGACTCTTTACCTGCATGGACACCTGGCCGATGGTGTCAATAGTAAACTGATCATCGACAGTCTCGCTCACAACTTTGGGTCCAGAGTCGTCCGAGCAACTATCGTCGTCATCCTCATCATCATCCTCGTCGGCCTCGCCACTCTTGTTCATCGTGTAACGGGTCTTGGTCTTCTCCGGAGGCGAGTATTGCGCCTGGGCAATCTCCAGCACCGCCTTGGCGAGGTCGTAGTGACCACGGTGCAATGCCAGAGTGAAGGGATTGTGTCCGTTATGACCCTCGACGGCAATCTTAAGTGGCGGCTGCTGCTTGGCGTCGTCCCAAGAAGTCAAGGTAAACTTCTTAACCTTGTCGAGATCGCCATTCCATACCGCCTCAAAAAGCTCCACATAGGCGGCCTGCTTTGTTTCAGTCATATCCGGAACACCCGTGAACACGAAGTCATAGTGATACGGCTCTCTCTTGGAAGGGTCGTTGCCATGACTGTAATTATAGTACCCATAATGACTGCTGCTGGTGTCATCATTGCCGTCCTCCTTGCGGTCTGGATGGAGCTCCTTGAATGTCTTGCCGCCCTTGGAAATGATGCTCTGTTCGATTTTCTCCAGCGTCGCAATGGCGTCCTTGATAGCCTGCTCCTTCTCAGAAATACCCTCCGTTCTGGCAAGACATTCGAGGCCTTTCTCATACTCCTTCCGCGCCCTCTCGTCTTGCCATTTCTCAAGTTTGACTGCGGTGGCTACCGCCCAGTGCTGGTAGGTGCCTTCCTTGAATCGTTCAAGATAGGTGTCCAGTCCTAGGCGCTTCTGGGGCTCCTCGAGCTTCGTGTTCTCTCCTTTGTATTTGCGAAGGGCCCTTAGCTGCGATCGCACCATGTCAAGGGCAGTTTTTCCCTTCCATCGAGAGCTGTAAGTGTTCCGCAAAGACCGTACTGAATCGGGGTGAAGGGTATTGGGATCGCACCCCGTTCAAAAGTTCAAGCGCAATTCCAGGCTCCTTGGACTGTAGGGCAGCAATCAATGGGCGATCAAGATTTTCTTGGAACAATCGCTTGTTGCTCTCAAAGTCGCCGAGGCGGTTCTGCATGGCCGATTGCCTGGCGCTCTTGAGCCAGGTCTCAAAGTCAATCTCCGGCACAGCGCCCGTTTCAAGGAGCTTCACAACCATGCCCAGGTTGCCTTCCCTGATTGCGGTTAGCAATGGTGTATCGCTTCGGGACCATTGATCGCACAAGACGTGGTTGATTGCGGTCTTGTAGCCTGCCTTGTCGAGCTCATAGGCCAGGTCCAGGAGCGTCCTGGCATTCCGCTCCACGTAGCGGTTGAAGACAGTGCAACTGTTCATGTCTGCCTGGGCAACCGTAGCACCAAGGCTGAGAAGCGTCTGAGCCATGGACTTTGCCTTTTCAATGGGAAGGGCCATGACGAGAACCAGCGTCAGGAGGGCCTTGTTGTTGTCCTTAAGGAACTTGACCGGCAATAAGACATCGGCTCCGTACTCTTGACACAAAAGCTTGACAACCTCATCGTGTCCCTCCAGAATGGCGAAGTGCAATGCTGAGCACGGAATATCCCATGCAACTTGGTTCACGTCGTAGAAGTCGGGGCCTTGCTCATCTTCGGCTAGGGGTGTGCCATCAGGTGCTGGCGTCTCGGCAGTCTTGTCAATTTTGACAAACGAGCCTGTCGCGATGCTCATCTTATCGCCATCAGCATCGGTCTCGGCGTCGTTCGCTTCAATCATTTCAATGTCTTCCGAGTCGTCCTCATTTTCTTCGTCGACATCCATCTTCTCCGTCTTTTGTTCCCGAAGTGCAGCCCTGGCCTTGCGACGCTGGTCTTCCAGTTCCTCAAATGTTTCCTCGTTGGTGTTGCTCTTGTTCATGAGGATCTTGATGATCTCCAGATCACCACGAGAAGCGGCGAGGTGGAGTGCAGTTCTTCCGTCCGCGAGACGCGCGGTAAGGCGTGCACCAGCCTCAACGAGAGCACGAACCACTTCCGGCGAAGAGGAAATGACAGCAAGATGGAGGGGAGTCCTGCCAGTGTGGTCCCTGGTATTGGGATCGGCGTCCTCCTGAGAAAGCCAGTCTTGGACGTGCTCAACGTCCCCATCGACAATGGCCTGGCACAGCCTGGCAGTGTTGCCGATATAGGCCATTTCCGTCCAGTCATCGTCGGTCAAAGGGTTGAAGGAGCCAATCTGCTGTCTTCCGGGGTCGTCCTTGATGAAGGAGATTCTGCCAGAGACGTAGATCTTAGCCTCCTCTTCGGCGATATCTTTCTCTTCATCGGTTTGGGGAACTGGGCAGTATCCGCAGCAGTCTTCGACAACGTCACTGAAGCGGCCAAACTAAGAAATTGTGAGCGGAGTACAACCAGATTATCCATTCGCAAAAAACTTACAAAGGCAGGATGACGGTGCAAGTACACGGTCCGATCATCGCGCTGGTTCCACTCGGCATTGAGCAAGAGATCCCTGGTGTAGCAAAGCTTCTCGATTTTCTTGGCGTGGAACTTGGGGCCATAAGGGATGGTGAAGGTGTGGTAGTTGGACACTTCCTCCTCGTTGACCCAATCCGCGATCTCATCGTCATAGTCGTCCTTGATGTTTCCACCCATAGCGCGGAAGTTCTTGCGCATGAATCGGTTAAGAGCAGGGCGGCCTCTTTCCTGGCGGCGTTGGTCGACATAGTTGTCTCTAGCCTTGGCAGTTGGCAGTCTTTCAAGCACGAGAAGTCTGGCAAGACCCAGAGTTCTCATAAAGCTCCGCTCGAAGATGGTAGGATCAATGCGAGAACGGTCAAGCTCAGGCCAGTAGACCTCGAACCCTCTGCGGCTGTACTTGGAAAGGCGGTTCTCGTAGGATGGACTGCGGCGGGTAAGGTCGATGTGGTTGGTCTGAGTCATGTAGGACTGCAGAGCGCGAGGGGTGCAATAGACTTGCTTGCCATCATATGCAGCGCCGGAGCAGTCGATGTCAAAGCCGGTGAGTATTTCAGACACCGACTTGTAGATGCGAAGAACGATCTGGATGTGTCTGGTGGGATATTGGCTGCCTGAACCGGTGTAAGTTTCTCATTCCACAGCACATAAACAAGGGGGAAAACTCACAGATAGTAACAGCATGTTTGGTTCTGACAGTGGTAGTTTCGCAAAGCAGCGCGTCCCTGACTGCACTTTCAATCTCCTTGATCTTGTCAATCGCCTGCTCCTCGGTAAGGCCATACAAGAACAGATCGACATCAGAAGCAGGAGCGAACTTTTCATGGTAGAACTCGCGCATCAACCTCTTGGAACCGCTGTACTTCTTGGGAACAGGCAAGATGCAGTTGACAACGGAGGAGCCAGCGGCAACAACATTGTCCCAGTTCAACTCGACAAGAGAAGACTCGGAGAAGATGTTGAAGTTTTTGCGGAACTCCTGATGGGACTGGACAACAGCGGGAGACTGGTCTGCGCGGCGCATGTCTTTGGGAAGAGGCATGATGTAGCGCGCCTTCTCCTCATCGGCTTCGGCCTCAAGGTTTCGGGCTCGCATCTTGATGTTGGAGGTGTTGTCTGTGAAGAGAGGCAGGACATTGACGTAGGGGTCCTTGAGCAGCTCAGAGTCCGGCTCTTGAGCGTATGCCTGACGAAGACGAGCCTCATATTCACGGTAAGGCTGGAGAAGCTCAACCATGGGGGTCGCTGGGTGGTTGGCGATGTGCTTGACCAAGTCACCGTGAGGGACCGGCAGCCGAGGGAAGGTTGATGTCGCCATGTTGTTGAAGTGTCTTGAGGAGACCTGACTCGGTGTTGAGTATGGGACAAACAGACGTGAAGAGACTTTGACTTGACTTGACTGGATCAAAGACGGTAAGGAATAAGGATGATGAGAAGGTGGGATGAGAAGGTGGGATGAGAGGAAACGGATGAGACGGATGGTAAAAGAAGAAGAGCGAGCAATCCTGGTTTTGTAAAATTTCCATGGTGTCAGTACTCAGTCGAGGCAGGTACGTCCCGGTAGGTATGTCTAACCGTCGCCGATCTGAATATCGACTGCACCTTCCTTCCCGCTCCTTTGAACGCACTCTTGCCCCTCAACGCCTCACGGCGATGGCGCTTTCCACTTGATTGCTAGGTCCGACAGCATAATCATCCCAAGAAGGAAGTCGCCAGGGGGTGTGCTGCCTGGACAACCCACGTCAACAATCCAGATCAACATGGGGCACCCGGTCGTGCAACCGCGAACCCACCGCGCAGCTCGCGGATCTGGCGCGACATCATGTGAACTCGTGTAAAGAGCCTGGAGAAAGAGGAGCAGGGCGTGTCATGGTGGATGTGATGCCTGGTGTTGCCTGGAGTGTTCACTGGCTTCAATCTGAAAACGAGAACCCTTTGCGGGGAACTCATCGAGATTGGTTGAAGCTATCGCGGCGGACCCACTTCTGCTGCCTAATTCCCCAGCCGTCCCGTGTGTGTGCGTACCAAGTAACTGCATGAGCGCCAGCAGGCATTGGTTATGCACTCCACAATTGTACAGCAAAGATCAAACATGTCGAAAATGACGAAAAGAGCATAAAGTTGATATTCTCATCGGTCTGTTCTTGTCTGGCTTATCAGTCGCGCCAGGTTGCGCCAAGTGTCTTACAGGTTCAGAACCCTTGCCTGGCATGGTATCGCGAAGAGTGCTCTCAAAATGCGGCATCAAAACAGGCCATGAGTGATAAGGAGCGAAAACCAACCTGGACTGTGCAGATGATAAACATGAATTCTTCATCCTCAAGACGCCGTGGAACAGGTAAGACCAGCCCGGCCATCCTTCTTTAAACAATAACTTTGGTGGACGACGAGGAGGATGACTCAATCGTGGAGTAACTCTGCCAGCCCAGCAACCGATCGATTATATCCTGGCACAATGATGGTGGCGATGCTCGAAAGCAGTAGTTTCGAGATGTCCCAGCAGCACCGGCCTTAGGGTTTGATATGATCGCCATAGCCATCCACCGTGCCTTCCATCTTCCTTTGTAAAACTAAAACACAATCCCAAAACGCCGTATCGTAGTGTGCTGTCCCATAAAACCTCCTCTTCTAAGCGTCGCGTTGCAAAGTCTAATAATGCTTGCTTGCTCTCTTGCTGTAACTCTTGTTGTCCTTTTCCTACGATCTTCGCCATATATCGCCGTCGACATCAATGTCGTTGTCGGATGCGTGTGTAGGTCTCGGTAAGGTAGGTATTGCTATTCGTCGTCTTCGCCGCCGCCATCGTAGTTGTCGTCGTGTCGAAGCACCTCGCTCATAGCGCAATAGCCCCCCTCCTACTCTCTCGCATGTGCAACCACCCTTGGAAACCGCAGAAGACTAAGAAGGCCTGTCGTCGCATCGCAACACATGTCAGCATTTGCTCTCCCCATCTGTACCCGAAGATCCAACAGATGTGTGTAAGCCTACCGCATAAATGATAATAGCAGTTCCAGCCGTCGCCGCCACCGTCTTGCCGTCCTCCGGATCTTCCACGCCGCCCACGAGCTCTGGGTGGTTCTTGTTGAAGAGGAGACCCAGGGTGCCGAGGATGATTATGGCGAAGGCGGAGATGACGGTGCTGTTTTAGTGTGTGGTTAGCTTTGGTTACTCCATTCGTAATCTAGATGTGAAGACTGGGGCGATGGTTTGGTGTAGCTGCGTGCTTCTAGGTTGGTATGCGACGTCGACTGTGCATCTTTCTCCCGGTCGTTGTTGCGCGCTGCTGTAACCGGTGATGGCGAAGGTGGTGTAATTGATGAATGGGAACGGGTTGCCTACCAGCTCCAAGCCTGCATGGCTCCCACAACGGGCTTCATCTTGACGGTATTATGATCGATTTGCTCGAAAATGTCTTGTTGTTTGTGGGAATCCAAATGCGACAGCCGGGTAATCGATTTCTCCTTGTCGTCGTCGTCGTCGTCGTCGTTGTAATGTCTCGGTGTTGTTATTCGATGGCGATGCAGTCAGTGTGATGGAGAATGGAGACCGGGACCTGGACTGGACCTGGCCGCGCAGGACGTCAAGCACGTCCCCCGACAGCCGGGGATGATGTCGTTCGTTGCGTTGTGGTTGGACCTGACCCAGGCCCACTTTTAAAGACCCACAGCTTACAAGCGCAGGCGACCAATCATTGGCTGCGGTAGGCGCAGTGCGCTTGAGAGAGACGACTCTTGACAATGTGAAGACGACGTGGAGCGTGATGTCTGTGAAGAGAACAAGAGGGTTGAGGGAAGATCACTTTGACGGAAAGATACGAGTTCTCATCTAGCAAGTGACACTTTTTTCTGGCTCACAGAAATTCCGGAAAAGGTCGATATATCTGGGGCTTCAAGGATGTCAAGCGGCTAGTATCAGATAGTGGCCATACAGTATCTACACCAAAGTTGTATCCTGCACTAACATAGCCTAACACTAAAAGAGAAAAGAAGCCATCATCAAAGTTCCAACTTTCGAGTCATATTTAAGGAGCAAATCCCATCCATCCAAAGACGCCCACGAGGCCACGACAGGCTCCGGTTCACACTCCCTAGGTAGACCAGCACCGTAGATCCCTAAGTCTAGTCCCTTTTTGCCCCGTTTCTTTTTTGGAGTCCCTCATCAACAAAGACAGATGCTCTCCTCCTCCCATTTGCTCTTCGAGTACGTAAAGTAGTCCTCCATGAAACAGCCTACGCGTCTGTACCGAGGTCGCCGCACGCCGCTCTTCTGTGGGCTCTCCTCCGGCGTCAAGACCAGTCCTACAGTGTAAGGATCAAAGGAATAAACCGAGCATGACAGTAGCCACAGAAAGAGTACCGGGTCGCCGTCCTCTGGTTCATAGTCCCAATCAATAAAATGCTTCAGATGGGTGTTGTAACTGAGCCCGTCGCTCATTCGCACCCAAATTCCGCCATCTTTCTTGGAGGCTCTGACCAACCCTCTCAAGACCTTACCCTCCAAGGTGAGTGTTATTCTTTCCTCATCCGCCCCCGGACCAGTGTATCGGGCTCTGGGTGTCGGGCTGGTGAACTCAATGACGCGTGCCAAGTAGGTGATTTGGATGGTCTCGGCCATTTGCCCCTCGTGGTCCAACAGCCAAAACGTCTTTTCAAAGTTTCCAGCAGCCCAGGACCACGAAGGGGGGCTGGATTTTGATAGGTACCCCCGTTTCTGCCTGGGCTCCAGCGAGTACGGGCCATCATTGAACCTGCGATCCAACCATTCGATGGGGTTATCACTGCGACGCCACAACAAGTCGACGGGCCAAAGCTCCTTCCATATACCAACCACGTAGGTGAATCCTTTGCTATCTTCGATAGCCTTGGCCACTCCAGCAAGAGCTATGAGCCTGTCTGATTCGTAGGTGAATTCGGCGCGCCTATAATCGTTGACTATGAGTTGCCAGGCTGCAGCAAATGCGGCGTTGGGATTCTCTCTCCCGCATGGCAATGCACCGGAAATCTTGCTCGGTTTTAATCCGTAACGTTCTTATCCACAAAGCAACTCGAAATCTGACTTTGCGCAGTACTGTTTGCGGCTCAAATATCTGGCCAAGCTGGAGGCATGTTTAGGTTCTGCAAGCTCCTTTCCGGTCAAACTCGGTATGCCCTCCGAAGCCGTTCCTGAACAGCATTCCCAGAACAGTTGTTTGGCTCCTGTGTAAATGACCCGCGGAGGAAGGAGTCTTTCTTGCATGACCCGGCCTCGCCTCAAGAGAGGCATATCTTTATCAGTCTCGGGACCGGCGTAGATGCTGTTCCCTTCCTTTTGTGGTGTGATGTTGCATGGAAAGACCTGAAGGGGGTTCCTTTGCGCAAAACAAGTGTCGGCTCCATCGAGCCCCAAAGCAGCAATATTCCACAACGAATTGCCATAAACACTGCTCATCTTAAGGGCCTCCGAGTGCCAGTCACTCTCACAGTCTTGAATAATGCACAATGAATCAATCCAAATATATCGATATCCAAGTCGTTGTGTAAGTTCCATGGCGTCCCGGAATGTCCTCGGGAGGTGTTCGACAGGTATTTGCTTCTGCAGGCGCTGTATGTTACCGCTTGTCAATCTCAAGGTCGACTCCGTCGAAGTTATAGCCCAAGAATGGCTGAGTGTGAGATATTCAATAGAGGGGGCTGCGGTGGCTGAAGTTAGTATCAACCGTGGTGCAAGCGCTCCGTCGACTGTCCCAACGTCAACCAACCTTATCGGAAGCCCCGTATACTCCGTACAATCTGTGTCGAAGAGCTTCCGGTTGCATCCGGGATGATTCCAGAGACAATGATCTATCCAAGACCGTATAGTGGAGATTGACCTCAAGGAATTGCTTGAAGTGGAAGGAACAGGATCAGGGACTGATTTTGCATCTTAATCGGTCGTCTTCGAGAAAGAAATTGGAAGAGTTTCGAAAAGCCCAGCTAAATGTAGGGGGCAGTTCTGACCGGAGAAAGACTGAAATCGGGTTTCTATTTTATGGAAAGTCAGTTTATGTTCAAATACCGGTCAACAGAGTGGTGATGATGTAGCTAGTACCTTTGCTCGGAAACCCCTTCAACTGCATTAGTATCTCGAGGATCACAAAGTTCGAGTCTTCAGGCAACATTTCCTTTGACCACAAGTGTGAAATCCTCGAGTCCATATGATCAAAATCGGTCAGTAGCTCCTCTGCAACATCCATGCTATCGTACTTCCAAAATCTCATGCAAACATAGATTTGGCGTCCCTTTCTGTAGTACTCGACAGACACAACAGAGTGCTTGTTGTTCTCCCATAACGTTGGATAAAAAATCCAGGCCTAATCGAAAGACTCCGAAAGACTCAACGAACAAAGATGGCATCCGGCGGCGCTTGACTTCCATAGATAACTGAGGCTGCGATTGTGGAAAAAGACTTCCACATAACACCCCTCACGACTGCGGTTGCGGAAGAAGTTATCCTTAACACCGTTTGATACCTTAGTACTTATATACTGATCAAACCTGCCAGCTGTGAGTGCCTGGATAGTCTTGGACTTCTTGACGATACGAGAACAGCAGTCACACAGCACGTGTGGGACGACCGTCATCGGTTGCGGAGGTGGTTCGGGCTCGAAGGTTCCTGGTGGTTTGGTAGCCATATTGACTGACTGCGGATCCAGGCCGCTGGCAGTGATGAAGAGACTGATGTGTCAAGGATAGAGGGGAAATGACAGGAATTAAACGGGGCCCAACGGACTTTGGTTGGATCAGACGCCTGCGAGCCTCAGCTCCCCACTCAGCCGCACTGTCAGCCTAGCTCATGGTACACGTCTCCTCAAGAATGATGTGTCAGAAAGGGAGGCCAGCTTGAATGGCGAGAGAACTGCTGATTGGATAAAGGGGCGAAAGACACTTGGTTTTGCATAAGGTTATGGCGGGGTAGAACCTATTCCGCGATCTTATTCACCCCAACCGGGCGAGAACCGCCTAGCCTGCCCGGCCTGATACCCAAGGACGCCACTCCGTTGGAGAGAAGGAACGGCGAGTCAAAGAGACAGAAGTTATGCCAGGAAGAAAAATGTGACGGACAGAAAGGACAGAAAGGACAG